AAAACAAAACCTAGTTCGTAGTACACACTACCCACCCTTCTAAAATACTTATCCTAACTAATTCATTGCCTTGAACCCAACAATAGTCCGTTTTTCTTCGTTTTTTTTTTTGTCGCCGATTACAAACATAACATAAGTTGTTGTCAATTGTGAAATAACTTTTGTTCTAGAGAATATTTTTAAGTTTTTTTTTTAAATTAATTTATTCTTATTTGCGCTATAAACCCTCAATTAATAGAGATTGTGACATCTTTTAAATAATTTGGTAAAAAAATAGTAATAGAAGTAGGCAGTAGCAACTGATAGTTCCTAAATTATGTGACACACCGGTCTTGTGGCATGCCAAAATTCTGGGTCACATTCGCTCTGTTCACAGAATTCGGACGGTAATAATAATACATTTACCGTTTTAGAAATAATGTAGGTACTTGTTCACGTTTTTTATCACGATAATATGACTGTATTGCCATGACAAAAAAAAAATGTTTTAATAATTTCTCTGAAACGCGTGAAGAATGAGCATTGTAAACAATAGACTTTTTTCGACGATTCTGTTATATATTGTATTTTTAAACGATACTCCATAGTCATTCTGTGTTCGTTATGACATAATTATAATGAGTTATTATAATAAATGTACGAAGATTGAAAGTATAATTATATATATATGGTAATTAAATAAATATTAAATTAATATTAACTCCCTGATAATAATTTCCGTACTCTTTAATATCCATAATGATGATTCAACTAATTTTTTCAACTTTTTTTCCTGTAGTATAATTTATTCATTGCAAATTAAAATGAGTAATTTGTTTAAGAGGCCCCTACGCCTCTATATTTTTAATCGAAAAAACTCATTCTAATTATAACCGTACTCTAAAATGCGTTTTCCGACAATACTGTTTCAAAAACGGATATAGATTTTCCAATACTTGCTTGATGTATCAATCTAAGTACATTTTCAACTTTAATGTTTTTAATGTTATAGTAAAAATCATTAAAATTGTTTTTAAAAATTGCAATTTTTTACATAGAAATTATCCATTAACTAAAAATAATTTTAATGTTTTGCCAAGATTGTAGATGTTATGAAGAATCCAAATGTTTGTTCAGAACATAAAAATAGAGCCTGCATGCGTTAAAAAATTTAAAAATAGATCTCTCTTTCCTGTGTTAATATATTATATTCTTACACATTTTAGCTTAGTGTTAAAGTTTAGTGAAAAAGTGCCTATACAATGCACCATAATAAATGCTAGTGTAAGACCGTCGTGTGATCTTTGCGCAATCTGTCCAAGTAGGTATTAAACTAGGTACAAGAAAAAGAAGGAACAGTAATAACCCTGCGCTGTATTAGAATTTAAATTAATTTGTTTATTTGCATTGTTATTATAAAAATTAACCACAATCATTAATATAGAAATTAGTAATATTTCAATTGTTTTTTCGTGCCTACGAAAACTATGGTTTCTGCTGCGTTGTCCATTTACGCATGCTCGATAAATTACCATAATAAAACAATTGTGATAAATATATTTTATTAAGCTGTAAAATTATGTTATAGTTTTCAATAAGTTTTAAACGCCCTCACCTTAAGTATGTGTCCTTGACGACTTGGCCGTATAGTCATTTTAGTTTGAAAAATACATATTTATACGCTTATTGTTACATAATAATGAATTGTGTATTAACGTTATACTCTATGCTTGTTGTAGCAAAGGACTAACGCTCTGAATTTAGTATAGTTTAGGTATCCGTGTATACATATAGATATTTATATACTAGGTGATTCTTTAATGCCCTACACTAGTTTACTCTTAAAATAATCAAATTTTTATAATTTTTAGTATTTTCTACAGCTTATCAACTTTTGAAACTTAAATGATCACGTATATATTATTTTTTAAAGTTTTCAAATGAAGTATAACTTGCTGAACATGTTGATTGGTCGATAACCAGTTTTAATAAAGTTATTAAAGTTTAAAACTTAAGACCGAAGGAAGAATGGAGAGAAGAGTTATTTTTATCTGCTCATATTTCTCAATCGCACTAAATCTCTCCTGTCATAAATTTTAAACTTAAATAACTTTTAAAAAAATTATTAAAAACTGTCAAAATTGTCAGCAAAATATTTTTAATTTAGAAAGCTAATTAAATATATACAGTATACGTTGCCATTTAACTTTTATAAGTTGATAAAGCTCTAGCAAATACTAAAAATTATAAAAATTTGAATATTTGAATATTTTCTCATATAGTATTATAGCATAAACAAAATCCTATCTCTACCTTGAACTGTTTCTCTGCAGTTTTAAACTTCCAGCCTTTTTAAATCTTCTTCTACCACGCCATTCCATCTTTTCCTGAGTCTTCCTCTAGGCCTATGTTTTCATTACTACCCTAATTGTTTTGTTTTCGTCTCTCCTTGTTATGTAGCCTAACCATTGTATAATTATTATATAATTAAACTGTATAGTCACAGAATTGATGCAGTCTTTCCTTCCGTAATTAATTTTTTTATTTTTCTACGCGTATTTTCCGTCTAGGGTCTACCTTATAAGTGTGTGCATTTTGACAAAACTAAACAGTTTAAACGTATGGAATACGGAGAGATTATGAACGATTTTTGGTCGGGGATTATTCGATTTCGTTGGTGTACGCGTCGCATAATAATGTACACAAGCTTGATAAAAAGGGGAGCGTTAAAACATCACATTCTTCTACCGTCTAAATGGGAACGACGTGTGTAGGATGCGAGCAGGTGGACCTGATTATTGATACACCGCGATGTACTGTGTGTATTTTACTTCACGAGTCCCCAAAGAGTATTTATCGTTGGCTAGTAAATAAAAAAAAACAGCTTTAATCGCTCGCGTTTTCTTGTGGATAAACAATACTGTTATGAAAGTTATCTTATATTGTTTCATTCCAATCCGTTGCAGTTCTCCATTGACAATCTAGCACAATGAGTATCCAATTAAATATGAACATTACATTATTCTCATAAGTCAGTACTTTAAAAGTGCTCGGCGATCCAAACGTTGTCGTCTTAAGTCGTCGTTAGAACCATGATGTTGTTCGGTATTAAAGGCCTAACTGCGTAAAACATAATCCATTTCATTTTTTCTTCTTTCTGTAAATAAATGTGACTCCAGTACTCCAGTACTCGTATGCAGAGCTCATGCGCTTAAAAAATATAAGACGCAATACCACCGAGCCGTTGCCTATCCCCACGTGTGTTTCCCTTACATTATTATCATTGCTGATTTTCTATGGTTTAAACGTCATATGAGTCGACGCTCGCGAGCGTTACGCTTTGTTCGCCTATAATACAGTTTCCTCGAGCCAACTGTAACGTAACGCACACAAATAGCTAGTCTGTAACCTAGTCATTATTTTATTCTTCCCGTATTTGTCGGGAAGTCTTTATCGTCATCATTATTGTTATTGCGATTAGTGTTGGTTTACATTTTACTATAGCGACTCGGAGTTGCGAAAAGCGCATCTCCTTGTTTCGTCGTGTGTTGCATACGTACCGATCGATTGATGATTGATAACTCGCGCTTGGACGTAACAAATTTTTACAATGTTTTTTATTTTATCTTAGTTTAATATGTCCGTTGGAATTTTCAAAAAATCCCGCTGTCGCATTCCACTCAATGAAATAATCATAATCCGCAGGCTTAAACGCGTATAACAATATACGTGAATGTGTGCGTTTGTGACGACGGAGGTCGATTCGAGGTATTTAAGGAGAGAAGAGGACAGATGGTCCGTGGAGTAAGGGAAAAAAATAGAATAAAAAGGACACCGTCGTTACCGCCGCACACAATCAACCCGGCAGAGGCTGCTGCAGTAGCTGTGTGCAGCAGCCGTCCACATTCCAGCTTTTATTGCCCCGCAGGATGTCTATTATTAATACCCTCGGGTGACCCTTAGAAATGACGCCGTTTTCTCCTGCCGTAACATTCCACCAGAGCAATCGTTTGAAGGCGGTTCCGGGCTAACCAAGAGTAATAATACAATTATTGAGGTGGGGTAAGGATGGTATGTCGCCATGGAAGTGGCGGTATTCTTGTCGAAACAAGGTTGATAGTAGCGCACGGTGTAAACTAAAAAAGATTTTTTAAAGAGATAAAAAAGGGTGAAAAACTGTTTGCTGGTCTGACACCGATGGCATTAATTATCGGCCAGTCACTATTGATAGATTTAGACGTTATTCGATGAATGGTTGAATTTATACCGTCAGATAAATCAGTCCATTGAGCACTGTCTCTTCTCACCGTGTGTATATGTATACAATAACTCTTTTTGTTATTGCTCAGTATTCTTAACAAGTCAGATTTAATTTTGACGTAAGCGAGCTGAATTCGATTAGAAAACAATATTTTTAACTTGAGCTGACAATTTCCGTAATACGAGGTTTTGCTGTTAGACGGTTTTCATTGAAAAATTTTGGTAGATGTTTGATTAAAATTAATAAATTATAATTAGATGTTTATATACACGATTGCCCGCGATGGCCGTTTCGCGGCTAACCCAACACGGCACATGTCTTTTCTTGTATAAAAATATAAAAATTAAAACTACAATATTAGTTTACCGCAAATTAACGAATGACTCGCGTAGTATCTAAACAAATACGAGGGATATATAATTTATTATAATAATAAATAATAATTATTATTATTTTTCGCTGACGACAAGACCAATGACCTTAATATAGGTACCATAACATGTCCGATACCGAGACACAATTAATACAATATAAGTCTGACCCAATAGGCATTTCCTGTCCGTCCCTGAATTCAACATTTAAAAAAAAATTAAAAATAATTCGGAAGTTGCTGATTTGTATATAATTTTTTTAACTTGCCATCTCCAACGCGTTGTACAATGATAAAAAACGAACTGCCATTTAAAAATCATTAAAAAACAAACCCCAAAAGTATTTGAAATTGTAAACAAAATCTTAATTTCTTCTTTTATTTTTTCAGTGGACTGTGATGATAGGTTTAGAAGGCACTAGAAATGGCTCTAGTGCGGCCCGGCAGCATGCAGTACAAGCAATGGACTACTACAATAGCAATTTATTGCGAGCAAGGACTGGTGCCGGACTGTCATCATCATCCCGACAAAGGTCCGCCCAAGATCCACTTTATCGTAGTAATTCCAGCCTCGAACTCACACACTCAGATTATCACCATTTCGGAGGTAGTACACAATATATAGAATCCCGTATCAACGAACGTCCAATGATTAGTCCCATGTTAAAAAGAGAATATGGTAGCCATGGATCCATTGATGTAATTGGTTCCGATCGTAATTCAAATGGTTGTACGTCAAATGGCGAAAATTTCTTTGCTATGCTTCAAGACTATCGTCCAACTGTTTTAGACATGATTGATGGTAAAATATTGCTTGTAGCTACATATGTGAAATATATATATGATCAGTATGTCGTAAGAAATCCCGTGTCACTCAAGGTATATCAAACTTTAATTTAAATTAAAGTGTTACTTTATATCTTATGGATAGTGTAATTATAATATATATATATATATATTATCTTCAGACTGACACTTTTTTAGCTAAAAATGTGGGCAATAAAAATATATTTTGGTTAAATTAGATTTGAAATATTTCGGAGCTAACGGGACTTAAGCGACATACTGTATATTTGTTTACTTCTAATATTAAATCCTCATATTGTAGGTAATAATCGTGAGTTTGGGTATCGAGAAATGCCAGTTGATACTCCACCTGATGACCAGATCTCCGCACCAACCAATCTAGATAAAACAGTGGCCCATGGAAATTCCAGTCCAAAGCTTAGATTAAAATTTCATAAATTTTGGGGAGCAAATAATAAGTTTTCCAGAACGACTGAAGACGCCACTCTTTCACCTCCCAGTTGTAGTATGGGTACAACAAGTAATGAATTTGTTTCTGATGATCGACAGAAACGTAGAGGATTCGCTCATTATGATGTCCAATCACTGACAGCTACTGTAGGGTTAGCGTCCAAGCTCCAAAACATGTTATCAAAGAGAAGGAACACTGCTACAGGTGCGTCAGCGGCTTCTATGTTAGCTGCTCGATCATCCACCCCAGAGAGTGGCAAAGATGACCTTGGTGATGGAAAACACAACAATTTATTAGACAGGTATGCTTGTGTTGAAATATATATATGAATACATATTATTTTCATTGTATTATTTTTTTATAGTTGTCCTTTTTTCCGAAATGAGCTCGGCGGTGAAGGTGAAAGAGAAGTTAGTCTCACCCAAAGAACCCAGGCTGGGCAAGTTTCAACTTTTAATAATGGCAAATTGTATCATAGGCCTCGTATGGCTTACGGAATATCTGTTCTTGAATTTTCACCTGGAGAAACCCATTGGACTGAAGGAATTTGCCCGGAAACCTATTCCAGATTAATAGAGACTACTGATGAAGGAGATTTATACTATCGAAAATATTTTTTTGGACAAGGTAATTATTAACTGCATTTTCTATGTATAACAGTCCTACCATAAACAAACGAAATAATTAATGTGGGATTTGATTTGACTTATCAAATCTTTGAGATCTCTGTGCATTTGAATACTTGGGCTCTACACACACAGTGATTTTTTTGGGTACTTCATCCACCATGGACTAAATCCTTGAAAAAATCTAGTCGTGTATACTCGCAAGACTAATATAAAATGGGTTTTTCTCATAATTTAAACATTGTCCAGGAGAGTATTTATTATCAAGGTATGAACGTTAATATTTTATGGGCGCCCAGCAGCTCAATGGTTAAGATTTACGCCCAGTAAAATATAGATCTAGGTTAAACTCCCGTCCGTGTGCATTCATATTTCTTTTTATATTTATATATTTAGGTATACCAAATTGTATGAAGGTATAAGATGAAAATGTGTCTTTCCAGTATAAATAAAAACAATGGTCTTGCATAATTGATTTAACTATTTATTTGTTTGCAGAACATCAAAATTGGTTTGGAATGGATGAGACTTTGGGGCCAGTAGCTATTAGTTTAAAGCGAGAAAGAGTAGAAACAGAACAATCGGCTAATGGATGTAGTTCAAGTCCATCAATCCTTTTTAGATATAGAATTATAATCAGGACTAGTGAGGTAAACAATTTATTTTATCATTCCTTATTATTTATTTAATCTAGAATTTATTTTTCAGTTACAAACACTTCGTGGTTCTATTCTCGAAGATGCTATTCCTAACATTAAACTATCCAACAGTTCAAAGCATATCAACACAAAAGACGTGCTTGAATATATAGTTCCAGAGATACCACTTTCATGGTAAAATTATTGTAACAACAATAAATATTGTGTCTATAATATATGTTAAATAGTTTAAGGATGGGTACAGCAACTAGCAGAGTTGAAGAACTTTTATTAGGCCTTGATGAACAGGGTATTTCCCATACTTATAAAGTTGGAGTTATGTACTGTCGTGCCGGTCAAAAAACAGAAGAACATATGTACAACAATGAAGAAGCTGGCCTAGCTTTCTACCAATTTATGGACAGTATTGCTCAACGAGTGCGTCTGAAAGGTTTTAACAAATATAGAGCGGGATTGGACAACAAGAGTAAGACAATTTTTATTCCACCTATGTAAAATCATGTATGTTCATGTATATATTTTTTTTTAGCTGATTCTACTGGACTTTATTCTTTCTATAGTCAATATCAAAATCGTGAAATTATGTTTCATGTATCAACGATGTTACCCTTCACTCCAAACAATAGACAGCAGGTAAAATATTTTGTCAAGAGATAAGCATTAAAATTATAGTTACTGTATTTTGTTTCTGTTCATTTATACAGCTTCTACGAAAGAGGCATATCGGAAATGATATTGTTACAATTGTGTTTCAAGAGCCTGGTGCTCAGCCGTTTTCGCCGAAGAATATTCGCTCCCAATTCCAGCATGTATTTATTGTTGTTAAAGTAATCAATCCATGTACTGAAAACACACAGTACAGGTAGGTCGTTATAACATTTTAATTAAATTGTTTTAATAAAAAATATAAATGTATTTGATATATTTATTCCAAATTTTCTAGTATTGCGGTTACTCGATCAAAAGAAGTTGAAATGTTTGGACCTCCAATTCCTGCAGAAGCTGTGTTTAAAAAATCCAAAGCTTTTAGTGACTTCTTATTAGCTAAAAGTAAATAATCATATTAATTGCTGTGACCTTTTTAGATAGTCTTTAATTTAATTTTACAAATGTACTTTGCAGTTATTAATGCTGAAAATGCCGCTCATAGATCTGAAAAATTTGCTACAATGGCTACTCGCACAAGACAAGAGTACCTCAAAGATTTAACATTAAGTCATTCCACAAACACCACCATTGAACCCGTACAAAAATTCTGTAAGCTTGAAGTCATATGTAATATTGTATTGATTATGTTTAAATAATTTGTTTTATTTATTTTAGCTATGCTGTCGTTTAGTAGTAAAAAGAAAGAAAGATGGCGTCCAAGGTTTCAACCTGATGCATCACAAAGGGGTGCTATTTGTTGGCAAGTAGTATTGGAAGAAGGAAATGGAGGCATTGGCGGCCACTGCCTTTTAGCTATATCATCAGATTCTATGATTTTGATTGAAGAGCACAATCATGATGTATTGTTAGTGATACCTTGCAAATCTATATTGGGTTGGACGACACAAACTAATAGGTTTGTTTATTATGAATGATTTATTAAGTGAATTTTCATTGCTGATAACTGATATATTTTCTCTTAAACATTTTAGTTTACGAATTTATTACCACGAGGGAGAGTGCGTTACATTGCATATGCACGAAGGCTGTAGTGATGGTGATCGTGATGAGTTAATGGAAGTCATAGTCAGATTACGCGCAGTTACTCAGGGTACTGTCGCACAAGAACTGTCATTACATCGTAATTCTTTAGGTCAGCTTGGTTTTCATGTTCAGCCTGATGGCTTGGTAACTCAAGTCGAAAAATCTGGTCTTGCGTGGGAAGCTGGCCTTAGACAAAATTCCAGACTCATAGAGGTACAGCATATATATATTTTAAACAAATTTACTAGCTCAAATACAAATTTTATTCATTATAGATTTGCAAAGTAGCAGTAGCGACTCTTACTCACGATCAAATGGTGGACCTTTTAAAGACTAGTGTTCTTGTCACAGTTACCGTAATTCCTCCTCTCCAAGACGGTTCACCACGAAAGTAAAAACTTATAGTTCTATATTTTTTTTTACACATATATGTGTATATTGATATTTATTAATTCATTTTTTTCATACTAGGGGCTGCCACATTCAAAATTGTTCTTATCGAGTCGATAATAATAGTTCACCTAAAGGTTACGAAAGCGAATATGAAAATGTATCCGGTATTTCAGCTGTTAAAAGTCCTAGAAAACAAACTGCTTTGCAACAACCAGTAACTGGAAATCATCGTAAAATGTACTAATTTACTTTTTTATATTTTTTTAATCATTTACTTACAATGGTATTTAACCTTACCAGGTATGAGCGTAGTTTATCTCCACCTCGATCCAGTAATAGTTCAGGTTATGGTACCATGGGTAGTAATAAGTCATATACAACACCGTTGGATCCTCGATTTCCACAAAACCCAGAGGTATATCTTTTGCACACAATAGTTGTTTCATACTAAATTATAATATAATACTAATTTTTAGGGTACATTAACGAGTTCGTCGAGTGGTCATTCTTCAGATGATCGTTGGTATGATTTATTGGAGGTGCCATTAGAAGACCCCCCTCCTGTTCCTTCACGGTTAACACCGACTCATTCAAACAAAAATCATTCAAAAATACACGCAAGCAATTCGTTACCTTTATCTACTCTAAACAACTCATTTTCTGTGTACTCAGACCCTCGTAATAGTAATAATGTTACTCAACAGTATGATTATGTTAATAAAACTCCTGAGCATAACCATGATGTGCATAGACAATTTGAAGAAAGATCAGAACCCAGAAGATCAACCAAACGATTAGTGAAAGTAAGCAATAAATTAAATAATATAAAAATGAGTCAATAGGAAGTTGCAGCAAAAACTTTTATTTTTTATTCACTCAAAATTAAAAATAATTGTATATTAAAATATGAATTTCTATGCATATTTATAATTATTTTAATATAACAAAAAATGACATTATTTTATTATAAACAAAGTTTGGCAAAGTTAGCCGAAGCTTCTATTTACTTTAAGACAACTGCTATACAATTTTTTCAAATGAACAAGAATCTTAAAAATTAATATTTTGTAATAAGTAATAATTGTATAACATTACGCAAAACTTATTTTTATGTAAAACTAGTATTGATAAAAATATATACTAAATTGTATGCAGCTTCTCTAGTTGATAATACTTATTAGTTATTACACTTTCCCTTATTTTCATAATTAAAAATTATACGAGTAAAACTATTTGAATATTTTTAGGCATCAAGTGGCCAAGATTTAGAAAAAATTAATGGTTTAGTTGATTGTAGTAGTTTTAAAAAGAACTTAAGTAATGGAAATATACCAGAAACTTTGAATGACAGAATTTTAGCTGCTAGCGAAGGTAAATAAATTTTTATTTTATAATAATGGTTTAAAATAGTTAAGTCAAATTCCATAGCAATGTGTTACAAACAGAACATTTTTTTTTCAGATGATGTATCAACTATTGGGAGTAGCAGTACCGGATCACCACATAGTCATCGTAAACATTTAAAAAATAACTGTAGTCGTAATCAAAGCCCTCGTTCAGGATTAGATCGGGGAGAACCTCGTTTGAGACCTGGTGTTTCCGGACGTAATTCCAATGCTAGTAGTCGTTTAAGTGGTAATATGAGTACACTACAAGAAGATTTGATGAAATTAATTGATCCTGATTATAATTTAGACTCTTCTTTCATGGTAGTTTTTAAAGTAACAAAAAAAAAAGAAAAAATATTACAGTTCGGTTATAATTGTTTTTACAGGATACCAATTCACCAAATAAACACGTATCCAGGGAAAATGTTTCAAATGTCGAACAAGGCCAAGTCATTCTAACTAAAGCCCGTCCAGCTACTGTAATATCTAGTGCACCAAGCCCAGCTTTAAGTGAAATGAAGCCACTAAAACAAGTAGAGAGGTATTTTCATTTTAACAATAATTTGTATAAATTTATATTTATCTCCATTTACCATTCCTAAATAATATTAAACAATTATTGTTATTGATATCTATGAAGTGTTGCTGATTTACCACTCCCTGACACCCCTATTGATCGAATGAATTGGAAAATTCTTGTTGATACTGCTACTGAAGCATTACGTAAAGTATCAGCAGGAGGGCAAGTAGTTAAATCGGATACTAATAATGAAGAGAGTGATCATAGTTGGAAAAACATGAATGGGTTGATTACAAATTCCACAAACACCAATAAGTAATTCATTTTAGAATTATTATGTGTACTAAATGTCATTTTAATGTTTTTTAAAATAATTTTCTAGAACTAATATGAGCCCAGAGGATTTGGAAATGATGTTACGTAATGAAATGGAAATGCGCATGGAACTTCAAAATGAGGTAAAACATTTGAGAGAAGAAAATCGTCGGTTACAAGACGAGTCACATAGTGCAGCGCAACAGCTTAAACATTTCACCCATTGGTTCTTTCAAAACATCGACAAACATCCTGAACAATAAATACACGATGTATTTAATTTATAGTTTTTTATACAATTTGTTTTTTTTTATGCATATTATAATGTGCTCAATACTGCCATTGAGTCGCAGTTATTACTCATTGTTAACTTTTTGTAAAATTGTATGATTTATTAGTTGAATTTATTATTTTAAGATATATTATACTAAAGATATTGCTATTTATTTTATACTAACACATTACATTGCCAAAAAGACTGTCTTTTAATGTTAATTTTAGATTAACTATAATAACTATATTTGTAAATTTGTTTGTCGATATGTGTGTGAAGTTGATGTTTTACCAAATTATCGGCCCAAATAATCAAAATTATACATTTTTAAAATAATTATTAGCTCTGTTATAATAAGTAATGCAAAACGGTTTTATACTCATGCTTGTAAGAAAAACACAAACAGTATTATTATTATTATTATTATTATCATTAAATGTTTATAATTATTTCATTTAATTTGTACCCTCCAATAATGTTATCAATTGTCAAAAACATGCTACATTCAGTACCTACCAAAAATAATTGTAGGTAAGCTACTTAGATGTAAGTTGTTAAAGTTATTATTTTTGTAACTTAAATATTATTATTACTATTATATTATTTCTATTAAATATTATTAATTTAATTATGATTGCTACTTTTATTATGTATATTATATATATATATATTTTTTTTTTTTTTATTATTATTATTAGTAATATAGAACTATTATTTTTGTTGTTCCAAACAATAATTGTAAATTAATGAATATAATGTTTTTAATATTATTTGATAATTGTCTATTGTAGTGCCTTAAAAAAACACCACGTGTGAGTAATATCATTTTATTATTAAATGTTGTTATTTAATTTAATATTGTTAGATGAGTATGATATTATAGTGTTTTGTATACTTACTGTTAGTAATTAATTGTCGTTTTTTATGCACTCAAACAAATGATTTTACAGTGATACTTAATTATACCGTATTAAAAATTTGTGTTCATTTAGCGCATTATTTTTTTTATACTTGTATACTATACTATATTACTTTTTTTTTTTTGGATGTTCTCTGTAAACTTCTTAATATTAAAATTATTAATCGATTTACGAATACTCTAATGTAGAAGGTAGTATTGACAATAATTTTGTAGATACTTGCAATAAAAAGAAGGCTATCTTATTTTATAGTAGGCTATCTAGCCTACTATAATAGTATGGTTAGGTTCATTATTTTATCATAATTAAAGATAATAGTCTTGCTTAAAATAAAAAAGAGAACATGATGTTATACTCTATCTACATATACCAGTAGACAAAAATTAAGAAAATAGTGATCTTAATAAATTTCGGCCTTATTAATTTTTTTTAGGTTAATTTGTGTAAGCTTTAGGGTATTATATTTTTTTAGGAATACAATTTTTTCTATGAGTTAAGGTCATTTTGGTTGTACAAGAAGCCAATTTAAACTTAAAATCCTGACAAAATACGGATTTTAATTCTGCAAAAATATTTGATTTAATCAGGATTTCTTCCAGGTTATGGTCGTGGAAGTCGATTTTGAGAAATTAAAATTTTAATACAAACTGCAATTTACAACATTTTCCAATATGTTGTAAATTATCTATACAAGTTGTGCCGATCCCATCTTTGTTAAGATACTTGCAAATGAAATATGACATACTTTTTTTTTTAAAAATCAAAAACCTCATTCTCCTAGAAGAGCACAGGACCCCCCCCCCTCGACCACATAGCGGCGTAGTTATGGTGGGATGATGGGGATAGATCCCCTCCAGAGAGAGCCAGTACAGGCCTAGGTGTGAGTTACCAAAAATTAGGTTCTAATTAAATTTTTATTGAAGAGCTATTTTTTTTTTGTTATTTAAATAAAAAATAATCAGGTTTGACAGATGTTCCTTGGCTTTAGTGGTTAGCCCCGAAGGCGATCCCCTACGACTGCGGACCGACTAGTAGCACTGGGTGCTAATTGCGGGCCGGAGAATGTGTGTCACAAGAAGAAGTGACCTGTCAGAAGGCCACTTGTCGACGGGCTCTGCGTGGCGTTAGTCGCCTTTTACGACAGGAGCGAAGACCTTGGTAGTATTCTTTCTCCCCTAACCACAAGGATAACAGTAAAACTTTCTTTTATAAAGTGTTTTAAGTTCTTTGGCTACTTAATATGGTGTAAATTTGTCAGGCTTTTAGTTCTGAAATATTACCAAAATGGCGTTCACTCATTCGTATATTTATTAAAGGGCAAAGGATAGGCAATATTTGGCAAAAATTTATCTAGTAGTCATTTTAAATATACTGACTCTTTTATGTTGGAAAAATTTAAAATATTAAGTTATTCTAAGTTTAAAACTTCTATATTTTATTAATTATTTTATATAATATTTTCTCTTTCTCAGTTAAACAATTTAACTTACATTTATACATAAATATAAATCCGCGTGATACACAAACTACAATATAAATTAATTTGCGAGGTAAATATAGAGGCATTTTGGATTCAAACAAACTGAATTCCCTATTTATCTCTAAACACACAGAGACCACCTGAGAGGGGGCTACACCCGCATTTTATTTAAGGGTCCGGGATAGGTAATATTTTTGCAAAATTTTAGTTTTAACGTAAAACTATAGCGTGTGTTTATTAGTACGGAAATGGCAATTCTTTTTTGGTAATATAATTTTTTTACCAGATTATCACAGCGGCCATACCGTTTTTAAGTATTTTTGTAAAAAATTGAGTACATAAGCAGCTGATTGTCGCGTTGCTATCCAAATATTTGTAAACTATATTGTTTGCTAAAATAACAGTTTACAAATTACAATTACAGTTTATTCGTTACCTTCATTGTCGTTGCAACTGTACGCGTCCAGTTTATATGTAAGTACGAATGTAATCTGATAATACACATATTACACCCCAATTCCTGATAATAAAATTATTATTATGATAGTAATACAGTTATATCAAAGGTTTTTTTGTATAACCGATAACGCAAAATTTTCAAATACCGATTAAAAAATATTATGTATCTTAAAACTTAAAATTTCGAGCTGCTACTTGCTGTCTAATTTGTATGTAGGTTAGGTAGGCATACACTTAATCAAAAAAACATCGTTAACATGGCCAAAGTAATTGGTTTTTTAAAAACGATAAAAAATAACTGGAAGAAATCTGTTTTTTTTACTGCTGTTTTATCATATGGTGGAAAATATGCGAAAGAAAAATATGAGTGAGTACTTGAATTTAATATTTATATAAAAATATAGTTTTTAAATGTTCTTTTTTTATATTTAAAATTTACTTTATTTATAAAATGTTCAAAAGTGATAACAAATTGAATAACTAAAAATTCTAACAGCAGCCCAAACAGAACTTATTTTTAGCTTCGATGCGATAGTTTATAAGGTATTGTTTTTTTTAAATGTATAATATGTTTCATTAATTATTTACACATTATTTTAATTGATCATGTGTGCATTATGCTTAGAACAGTATAGAAAGCTTAAATTTGAACACTATAAGTAATAATTGTAGTAATAGTACTGCAGACTACTTATATACTGTAGTATGTAGAATACAAGGTTTATAACATGGCAGATAGGTCTCATAGTGTTGACAAACATTTGTATCTATTCAGAATTTTTTTTATAAAACTAATTTAATTGTTATCTAATTATTTACTTTATATCGTTTTAGAACACATTTGTTTATGACAGAATGCTGTAAAAAAGTTGCCGCTTATGGAGATATTCCTATTTCTGCAGATCAAAAGCCAAAAAAAGTGACTGTTATATTAAATCCTGCAGCAAACAAAAGGTAGATTAGATAACATTATCTTGAAAAATATAGTCTGTTAAAGATTACTTTATACATTTTTAGGAATGCTAAAGCAGATTTTGAAAAATACTGTGCGCCATTGTTACATTTAGCAGGATATTCAGTAACTGTGTTGGTAACTGAACGTGAAGGAGGGGCAAGAAGTATAGTAGAAAATTTGATAGGTGAAACTGATGCCTTAATTGTAGCGGGTGGTGATGGTACTTTGTCTGAGGTAATACTATTTTTATTTTATTTAAAACGCAACAAAAATGTATTAATATACTAGTTATCCATTTAATTAGCACTATTTATCGATAACAAATAGGTAATGAAGGTTTTTGGAAATATCATAGTTCTTAATTTTAATTTTCATTCTATAGTAACACTACGTTAACTATAACAAATAGAATTGGAAAGTGAAAGTATAAAGTAAGGTTCTTTGAGCCCCACACTGTAAGTTGACACTTACATTCTTTGTTTTATTTTGTAACAAATTAATTGTTTGTTTTTATTTTATATCTATAAATGCTTTATGGAGGATGAATACTAATAAGTGTTTTTCTATTTGTAAGAAAATAAAACAATATTAATTAGTTTAATTTTCAAATTTTTAGGTAGTTACTGGATTACTAAGACGGTTAAAAGGAGATACTTCTTTGACAGTGCATTTACCAATTGGAATATTACCTCTTGGTCGCACAAATAATGTTGCTCAAAAGTTGCTGCAGCCTCAAGATGAAAACTTTGTACATTTTCTTACCAATGCGACTTTGGCTATTATTCAAGAAGTTAACACTTCCCATCCGGTTGTAAAAATTGAGAATTTAGAAGTTAGTATTACTTTAAACTACTCATTATTTTTTTTTTTTGAGTTACAGTTTATTTTATCATAAACTAAGTTAATACTCCTTACAAAAAATAGCACATTTCAACATTGCCAAAACAACACTTCAGCTTGGATAAACCAAGGGCTGGGGTGTTTTTTTTTGTTCTATAAGTAAGTGTTGTTTAAATGAACGACACCTGAATATGAAAGATGACGCTCCTTTTTTTGGATTTCATAATAGTTTTAACTATTACAGTGAAATCCAGAAATATGGCTAAAATAGTGTTACCTGTTGTTAGTGTCGGTCGTCTATCTGCAATATATATATATATATATTTAATCTATGATCGAACAACACAAAATTGCATAATATTAAATTAAATAAACGTATTTTTTACCAGAGTAAAAATCCAGAAAAATGTGTTTATGCGCTAAATAGTATTGAGTGGGGTGCTTTAAGAGAAGCTAAAGTTGCACGTGATAAATATTGGTACTTCGGAAAACTCAGAGACTTGGCACCATTCACGTTTGGCAAGAAATTGTTAAACGATTTGATAGATGTAGAATTAGAGTACAGTCCACCGTGTTCTGGTTGTAGTATCTGCTACAGAAAATACATTAATCTACCTAATAAATCATCAGGCATATTGTCCTGGATTGCTTCACTTTTTGTATTTACTCGAAGTTCTGGTAAGTCTTATTAATTTTAATTTTTTTTGTATTAGCTAAAAAAAAAATATTTATACCAATTTTTTTTAGCAGTTGGAGTAGATTACTCAAAAGTAATAAATACAGAATGTAATAAATATACTAAAATGTCCATTAAATCTTTAAATGTTAATATCAACTTGGATATGGAACACTCACCAGCATTAAAAATAAGTATTGGCCCTGAAGAACTTTCCTACGTTGACTTTGTCAAGGAAGGTTATTTGAAATTAAAAGGAGAACCAAGCCAAGTACAAAATTCTATTGTGGAAGCTAAAGAAATAATATTATCACCTAATTCATACGTAATAACATAAACATATAGTACAAATATTTGTATCACTTATTACAAATTTTAATTTATTTTAAGGAGGATAAATGGCTTTCAATTGACAATGAGGATTATGAAGTCAAGCCCATGAAGCTAACATTATTGCCAAATTCTATTTATTTATTTTGTCCAGAAAAATCAGGAGTTTTAAATCTGACAAAAAGAGATGAAGGTCCAAAATTATCTTTAGATAAGTTTAATAAACATATAGGGTTAAAACAATTAGCTTAAATAAGTAAATATTCCTAAATTTGTGTATCTTGTATAAGTATAATTTATACTTTATATTTTTGTTAATTACAATATTTAGCTTATAAAAACAAATTATTAATATTATTGTTATTTATTAATACATATATATATATATATATATATATATATATATATATATATATATATATGCCCCTGGATTACCCAACTTGTGTACATGTTTTTAGCTGTTTATGTTTGAGGTATCATAATTATTTTTAATTAATGAAGTGGCTTGTTGTAAGTTCTTATATGCATTGTGTAAATTTGTGTCCTTTTTTTATGTGACTTTGACATTCCAAGCAAGGGTTTGTTTCCATAAACAAAGAAGAAAGACAATTTATAAAGGCTAGTTTTTTTTCAAAGATAAACTCAACATTTTAAAAATTTTTTTAAACAAGTGATATGCCAATAGTTTTGAAAATGTATATAGATTTTCAATACTTCATGAATCAAGTATCGATCAAAGTAAAATTTTAATAATATTGTAAAAAATCATTAAACATTTTTAAAAATTGCAATTATTTACATAGAAATTCTATGTTACTAAAAAACGTTTTTAAATTTGCCATGATCGATATCTTATAAAAATAAAAAAGGTACCTTTGAAGAAACCAAATGGTTGTTCAAAACTTAAATTAAATTATTATTAAGAACGTGAAGTAGAAACATGATTTTATACAAAAATAAAGCCTGTATATGGAAAATTTATGACCTACTGAATAATATTTTGGCAAAAATGCAGTTTAGTTCCCAGATTAAGAGGGCGTCGCACCGCCCATTTTTAAGGAGTAAAGTATAGGCAATTTTTTACAAAATCATACTTTAAAGGTTAATCTGTGATGTGTAATTATTAGTTCAACAACTAGGACTCTATTTTTGTAGTTAATTTATTTTTTGGACTATCACAGCTTCCTTGAAAGCGTTTTAAAAATGTTTTTTCATCTCTACATGTTAAAGCAGACTGAAAATTACTCGCTTAATTTTGGTTTTAAAGTAAAAGCACCCATTATAAAATTAAAAGAGAACAATATTCCGGAGGGCAAGACTGCGTTTTTTTCATTATTCCAAGTATAACGCTCAATGCATAGTTTAGAAATAACGAATATTTTAACATTTTTAAATGACTATAACTTTTCAAAAAATGAATTTTTTTTTTTTTAAACGCACCTTGGTGCTCTTCGGAATATTGTTCTCTTTTAATTTTATAATGGGTGCTTTTAATTTAAACCCAAAATTAAGCGAGTTATTTTCAGTTGGCGTAAACGTGTTTTTACCACTGAAAATCACCGGTGCGTCGCCCTCTCAAGGGGTAAAAACCACGGGGCACGAACGCTCTTTGTGGGTAATCGTGGAACTTTTTATTTTTCACTGATGATCCATGTCGTGATGAGTGCTGTTTATGATAACAGCCAATTTATTATAAAAATTGATTATTTAAGATATTTGATATACAAAAAATGGGTAAAATAATTTCCATATTACACCGTACACGTATTCACTTAATAGTTAACTGTTGATTAAACGCTGTAACGCTAGATGGCAGCGTCGTTAGTGGTTGGTGTACTTAGATTTAAATAACGTCGAATGAGGTCGGCTGCATGTGGCGGTCCTATGGTGTAATGGTTAGCACTCTGGACTCTGAATCCAGCGATCCGAGTTCAAATCTCGGTAGGACCTTAGATTTTTTTGCATTTTTTTTCCTTTAAAATATCTGTAATTATTCGTGCAGATATTTGTTATATCTATATAATATTATTTATTATTAGTTTTAGTATCTGTTGCTAGATCAGAATTATCCAAAGGTGAACGGAAATACCTGATATTTATTCTTTTTTAAAGAAAAAAAATGTGCCCCAGTCCCCGTAATATTGCGTGTTATTGTACCTAGTAGTCAGGTACTATTTAAACATGATTGATTATCAATCTATAATTACTAGGTAGTCAATGATAAATAAATCCTATTTGCATCACTAAGTACTGTTATTTGTTGCGATCTTTCGAAAGTAGTACATTTTTAGCAGTCAGGCTGAGTTAAGAAATGATAAATAACCAAAATGCAACATGGCGGTTCCATGGTGTAATGGTTAGCACTCTGGACTCTGAATCCAGCGATCCGAGTTCAAATCTCGGTGGAACCTTAGCTTTTGCAATTTTTCATTGTACTCAGAATAATATGCAAAATACACACACGCATAATATGTATTATGTATGATTATATTCAAACGAAGTACTTTTTTTTAAATATCGATAAAGACAATTATTGGGATTTTGTTTATCTACCACTTAAAATATTTTCAAAAATAAATTAGTTTTTTTAACAATATATTTTGAAGAATTTTTTTTTATATTAATTATTGTTTGATATAGGGGTTGAATTATTATTTGTGCAAAATATATGAAGAGGGAAAAAACCAGGGAAGTTACTTTTTTCAACCCAATAATAACATGTTTAAATAATAAAAATTAAAATGTTTAAAAACTACTTATAAACTTTTAAAAAATGTTCACATTGTGTTTTAATTATTTTAAGAATAAAGAACAGATTGGTTTCGTATCTAAACGAATTCTATAACAACAAAATGACCATTTTTAAAAAGTGACTTACCTACTTTATTCTCTGTGTCTTTCATATTATGTTTACTTCAAAATTGAACTAACGTAAATCACATTGTTTAGAATATTATGATCTTACAAGTTACAACCATTGTACATTATAAAAGTAGAATTTTTAACGGATATTCGACCGTACGTCTTAATGCAAAATCAGATTATATTATATAAAAAACTAATAACTTCCGAATCGCCGTTTTTGTAGATACTTTAGTTAATTTAGTTTTAAGGTTCCTTCACGATCACCGAATGGTTTCTTCAAACAAGTGACAGGTACACTGCTAATTGTATAAATTAACCATACCATGTGTCTATTGTACGATTATTGTAGTCAGATTCAGGTTATATATTTTTTTCTACTAAAAAATGTACGGCGTCATTACTTTTTTAAAAATTGTCGAATTAGTTTTAAATTCGTGTTTTAAAATCTAAAACTAAGAAAACTTTTTCCTAAACTGATACACTTTTATTTATTTATTTTTATTGGGCATATGGACTATGGTCTAAAAATGTTATAATATGTACTTGCTGCAATTTTTATTGATGTTTATTATTTTAATTATGTTTACAAATAGTGTAGGTACGATGACTCATTTTTTTCAAAATGTAAGACCTTAAATTCAAAATTAAATAAAAATGCATTGTAGGTACTTAAAAATATACGTATAATAATACCAAATACAATCGCTAGAGCACAATAAATTGCACATATACCTACCGAATTTCTTACAATCATCAAATTATACTATTAGTATTTAAAGTTTTAGTGATTAAGTAATGTTTCTTTTATTTTGTTTTTTAAATAATTCCCTTGTCGTCAGCGGTCATTTATTTCTCATTTTATAGAGGAAACTAGTAATTATATTATTTTTGTAAACTTTTGCTATGAAGTGTCAAATTATGATTTGTACGAATGACAATAATTTTTAACATACGTACGTTGAATTAAATTTTTATAATTAATTTAATGTCACGTTGTTCGACAGACATATTTTTATTCGTTCTAACTTGATCAAGTTAAACGGCGACAAACGGTGATGGGAGTCAAAATAAACGCACATTAGCAAATTTTTGCTGTCAATTAGGAAAAAATAGTTTTTTTACCATGATGTGGATGTAAGAATGTATTAGATCTACAGAATTATTTTATTAGACTTTCCGATTTGTATTATTTTTTATAACTGTTGTTATATATATGAAGTTATAAATATTTGGATTAGATTAAAAAAAAATGTAATAATGGTATTATCGTAATCAATAAAAACGAAATTATAATAAATAAATTAAATCAGATCATCGATTCCCGGTTGCATTATGCGTGCGATAATAAACCTTGTGGTCAGGGACAAGGCGCTGGCCATTTCCGTTTTTCTTTCGCTGGATAAGCCCGGTAAGTCCATGTTATGTACTATTGATTGAAAACTACCCTCAATGTCAACGGATTTAGGATTTGGCAATTTGTCTGATATGAATCTGAGACGTTCCAGTAATTCTTCGCCGGACATTGCATTCAATCTAGCATTCTAAAAAAAAATAACACAACTAAGTATACCTACTTGCAATTTAGGTAAACCATTATTGTAGCATTTATTAGATACGAGTATACATGTATACTCGCTGTACTGTAATCGTCTTGAGAGTATGGCCGAAACTAAAAAATGAAAGTAAATTGTTGTGACAGAAAAATTTAAATCGGTTATGCCACGCCTAAAATCTCAAAGGTATTTGTACAAAATTTACAAAAAAAAACTTATTTTTAATTTAGGAATTCAACCGCTAAAAAATGCGTATGGATAAATAAAAAATCAATAATCACTGTACATATCACATGTGTTACAACGCAAGTCAAAAAGTAAACAACAATTTAAAATGTTTTTTTATTTGAATATTGTTTACCCAATTCTTACAATGGTGATAACTGCGATAATTCAAAAACAATTGTTATGATTTATGTCACTTTTGAAACACATGTGCGATGTAGTGAACAGGGGACGTGCAAACCGTGGCCGTTTATCAAGAATTGCCTAACTCAGAGATGTAGCTTAGGACACGGCCGACGCCAATAACATAAGCAAGCCATATTGTGGGTTTTACGAACATTGTTGTCCATGATCATTTCTTCCTTTTCGTTGTTAATATTGGCAGTTTGTTGGTCGAAACTAACGATGGCGTCGTTAGCTCTCTGCTTGTCGCTCACTTCCTCATTCGGTGTACTGCCCGTTATCCAATTTATAACAGAATTATAACGCGGTACTACAGCTTGTTTGAAGCTGTCAACGTAACCACGCTTCGCCTGTATAAAAAAAACCATGGTTGTAAAACTAATAGTAGTACTTTATAATATAATAATATATACGTACAAACTAATAAAAGTAATATTATAATACTATTATTTACGGCACGGTATTTATCGTGTTAATTGATGTAGGTGATACAAATAAGGAATTTTACCGTAACAGAAATCGGAAAATTTACTTCATCTTTAAACCACAGCCTAATTTAGACAATCCGTGGCTATAAATGAATGTGGCATAATTTTTTAAGGAGAGATAGGTACAGATTGGCAACCGGGAGCGGGGAGGCGCTGAGATAGTGAACACTGAAAACGGTCATGATTGAGGTCAAAGACAAGATAAATTATGTTACTTCTCTTTCCTAATAGATATAACTGCCTATAGTGCTTATAATGAGATACAAGTAATGAGACCCAAAAGGGAATTAGTGGTCATTTGTAATGCGGGAAGCGAAAATGGACCTCTTGACGGTATTTTCCAAAATTGAGTTAGTACCGTTTTCCGAATCTTGAGTGGGTTTTAAACAATTTAAGACCTGGTACATCTTTGTAGCTAAAAAAATTTACTTTGTAATCGCCAGTCGGTCGACAAAGAGGTCTCATTTCCCGAAATCGATTTATACTAATTTCGGCTATTATTCGAAACGTTTTAATGGTTTAACCTATCCTAACCCTCCAAGATTCTTGAAGAGTCCGAGTTACAATTATTGATACTTAGTAAGAAATCAATGTTTCGACGAATTTCTCGAAATAAACTTTTCCGACAAAAGGCTCTTTTTCGCTTCCGCATTACCTACATGTTTCGTTTTGATTTTCGATCATACATTACATTGATTTCTTTTGGTTTATTTTTTAAATTTTTGAAAGATATATTAAAACTAAATTATGGATATTATAAAATATTGATTTGATAATTCTCGGATTTATCCGTATCAATATTTAATTTGCTCTCCGGTCTCCTGTAAAATGTATATACTTAATGTGTAACCTTAGACCTTATTAGTTTTTACCACTTCAAATATGATATTTGTCTCAGATGTATATTATTAGATATAATATTCAGTTAAAAACAGCATGGTAGAGGAATAATGGAATCTGTGGAGTGATTGTCGATTAACTGTGTGCTAATTAATAATATTAGTTAACCCATAATACTATAACATAGTAATCGTGTAGTGGTCATCACTGGCCTTTGTGCACTAACTGAATATAATATATATATTTTTTTTTATACCAGAACGGCTCGGTAAATATCGGGACCGACATTCATGCCGATTTCTGTGAAGCTTTCCCCTTTTTGGTAGCCTTCAAACGCCTTGGCCGTTATGGTCGCTGCATTTAAGACCATCATAGCTGTCTGGTACCCGTTGAGGCCTGGCACGAACAACGACGCTATCTTGATCATAAGAGGTGCGTACGACGCTGCGGCTTTGGCCTTATTCAAGTAATCATTGTACCCCCCGCTGTCGCCGGTTTCAGACTGCCTGGTCCTGGTTGCTTCGTCGCCGACATCGTTACCTGTGGACGTACGGCACGGTGTAAAGTTATTACAAACAGCATTATTATAGTACCGAAGCCGCGTTTTGCTAAAATGGCGTCCTCTTGTTCGTCATTACCGAAGGCAATATCGCGCAGCTGTACGTGGCCCCCAAGCAAAGCTTCGGCTAATGTCATAATCTGATACGATCCTGGTTCTCGGCTGTTCATAATTTGGTCTATGGTCTCGTAGTGATAGTTTTTCAGAGGGGGCGGCGGATAGTCATAGGTGTCATAGAGTAACCCATAACCGAACGACTGCAATATAATATGTAGTGTGTTAATAAAGTAAAAAATAATTAGCTGATTTAGTTTAAAAACAAAGAGTACAGCGAGGAAAGGGCATAATACACACAGGGCATATTAAGAAGGCTCGCAGGTATTCAGGAATTGTATAAATGAACGCTTCGGTGCGGTTCTGAAGATGGTAGAAATATTTAAGATCGAAAAACTCATTGTAAAGACAATAATGTGTGGAAAATTATATTTTTAGTATTAGGGACTATGGATGGGTCTAGGTTTGATTGTCCGTCTTTCCTAATAAATCGTTACCATTGTAACCAAAAAGCAAATCAAAAACATAATGATAAAATATTTCAAGGTTAGTTCATTTACTGTTTACACATAGCAACCTGGACATTTAATACGACCAAAGGGCAAAGTGTGATTTTCTCCATCTTGAGGGGTTTTCTTAAGGTTGACTACAAATAATTTTTGAGAACATTTAAGTGTTGTAACCCCACTCGCAATCAACCTTCAGTCTAATTTTGAGATCGTGAACCCTAAAACCCTGCTAAAAAAAGTGAAATAAAGAAAAAGTTCCCATTCCTAATAGGGAAAAGGGATTTGATATTTTTTTTAGTTAGTCAAGGTAAAATGATACCTCTATAGTCTATACTATACATAAAGAATATTACATACATGTTTTTAAAAAAGTTCTAGCGTGCCGTAGTCTTAAGTTGATAAATGAAAAATATGTATACTATTTATATGGTTTTCTCAATTTTGAAGGAGGAGGGGTAAAATTTTCTAATTGTTTGTCTAATAAAGTACCATCTTTTATCTTTAGACTTGCTACTTGAAAGAATCGGTTCTGCATTTTGGAAGATATGGTGGGACCAGACATAAAAATAAATAAAACATAATTTTGATTTATGTTTAATATTTTACCATCTACAGATTGCCATCGAAGCGTTTATTTGAAATTGTTTCTATTGGGTCAGGCAGGTAAACCGGCTATTTTTTATGTCTATGTATTAGCATTTGAGTTTATATGCAATTTTTAATGCCGGAATCATACTCAATTCAATTCAGTTGGAGAAATCAAATTTTTTTGAATATTATGAAGTGCACCATAACAATATAGTGCCCAAGATTTATATATTGTTTATAAAACAATGGACACTTATTTTATAAACGTTTATAGTAGTCGGTATGTTACAGAAAATAACCAATGAAAATTCTTCGGTCCGGACTACTAAAAAATATACAATAAAGTTTTTGTTTCAAATTATGATTTTTGTGAAAAATAGCAAAAAAAAATTACTTTGTAATTAGTTAATGGCTTATTTTGGAAATTTACTAAGACACTTTTTCTATAGTTGTCTCTTATCTAAAAATCTACTATGCATAATACATATAAATTTACTTACAATCATACTGGCTAACACTGAGAAACAAACAATGATATTAACGAAACCCATAGTGAGTGACTTGTAAACTCGTTTGAACTAATACTACTCTTAATTGAAACTATTTTTTACAATAGCGTCAAAGCTACAACTATAGGGACATCGACATGTTAGTAAGTACCATATTTGCATTTTATTATAGCTGAAATCATCATTTGTGTAAACAAAATGGCAATGATCACACATTGTATTTACAACGTCACATCACATCACTCGTTCACTAAAAATAAACACCAATTACAGTATATAATGTGTTCATGACAATAAAATAATCATTAAAATGTTTTCTATTTGCTATTTTGCTTTTTAGTACTTTGCTAATTAGTTCCTACAGACTACACTGTCGAATGTCATAGATACATTCATCACTGGTTAGGCTTATTTAACAGTTTATTATATTTAAATGATTTATAGGATCTGCTAATATTTTTATTGCTGTTTTACACTAACAATAATGCCATTATAATTTAAAATTTAACAGGCAAATATTTAAGTTGGTTTTTAGTATTTAGTAACAATAAATATATTTTAGCTCGTTATGATGAATACAAAACATTTAATTAACAATTATTATTATTAAATTAAAATTAATTTAAAAGTAATAAAACAATGACATCTAACTATTTATTTGAAATTGAAAAGAAATTAAGTTTTGAAAATCAAAGTATAATTAGACCCAATAGGGTTAATCCAAAAGACGCTTCACATTTACCGTAAGGGGTGTTTTTGAGTGAATAAACAAGCCCTTTAAAAAAAAAATGGTCATGTATTCAAAATATATTTTCCAAGAATCAGAGGTATCATGAAGTATATTGACAGACTTATATAATATACAATATTTTTTCGTAAATAATGATTAAAATCGTCCACTTCTACTTCTTCCAGTGTATTTAGTATCCTCCCGTGTTGATTTGCCTTGTCGTCTTCTTCTTTCTTTTTTTTCAAGAATCCACTCTCTACTTTTTTTCACCAATTTTGTAGCACGACTTTTAGTCATTTTTTCCCTACAAAATAAAATAATTAAATGAAAGAGTTTTGTTAAATTGTACGTACGTTTTTTACCTCTTTGATGTGTAGTTAACACTTGAGTTCTCTGAACCGAGTGCAGCTGGCATAGGCATAGCTCCACCTGTCATTAAGACTAAAAAATACTTTTTTGCTTTAGTACTTTCGGGAAAATCAACTAATAATCCGCCAAAAAATCCAGCTTTTCTGGCTTGTGTTACTACTAAATCAGTTTGATGTACATTTTCTGGATAAAATTGGAAAACAGCTCTAGCGTTGCGTCCCTAAAACCATTACAAAAATAAATAATTAAACAAGATATTAATTAGGATCTATTAATGTAAGAGGTAAAATAATAAAAGGGTAAGTAAAATGTTTCAGTAAAGTAATGTGCGAGTCGTGAGAGTAAAATGCCGATTATTAAGAAAAAACTACTAAGTTAGTCAGATTTTTGGGAGGATTAAGTATAGTTAAGGTTTTTGAGTAAGAAAGGAGTTCAAATAATATAAATTAAAGATATACAATAAGTTTATAGCAAGTATGAAGAATGAACGGAGATAGATCAATATTTAGCCAAAATTAGTTTTCTCATGTAAACTATGAATTATAACAAGGGGCAATATGGTTTGCTACGTTACACATTTCACTTATTGTGAAAGAGTACCATCACATGATGTTTTAATGGATGCGGTAGTAAAAATGCAAAATTAAAAGAGAGTAATAGTTTGATATTAAGTAAGTCTGTAATGGAACATTTTCAGATAGAGTTCAGTTATGAAAAGGTTTTAGAAGTAGGCAATCAAAAAAAGAAGAGTCAAGAGTGAGAATTCCTTTTGGATAGATGATTGTTCAATGTCATGCCCCCTGTTGTGCTGTATTTGACAAATAAAAAAAAGGTAGAAGGAGAAATTATGATAATTAAAGAAACACGAAATTGTTGGATTCAGTTAGTCGATCCTACTTGTGATGATTGAGAAAAAGATTATATATTCGTGACTCAACAGATTGATTTTTTTAAATTTATAGATACAATTTAATAAACAATTCCTTAACATTTCATTATATTTTCTGTAAAATTAACTTACTCACCAAGCAGGCCAATAATGTAGAAAATAATGTATACAGCCTTTTAGCAGGTTTATGCGAAGATTTATCCGCATTGCACAACCATTGCAAAGTACTTACACTATATGCACCATCAAAAGTACCTGGTTGAAAAGGAACACCATTGCCTATATCCCCTAATAATAAATCTCCTTCAACTTCCCTTTCTTTGGCAATTTCTACAAAACGTTTCGTAAATAACAAATTATTTTCATTTAGTTTTGCTACTATAATTAAAATAAAAAAATGTATATGTTTTGTTCAATATTTCAATGAGACATAAGTAAATGAGTTTTTTAGTACTATATTAAGTCACACAAATATTTACTGTGTACATACTTAACATGGATTCAGAAATATCCATTCCAAACCAAATATGTCCAGATTCTTCTGCTACGCTGCCGCTTAAGCCAGAACCACAACCCAAATCTAATAACAAACAAGTTTGATCTTCTGGCAACAACAATAACTCCAAGCATCTTTCTGCCATTTCCAATTGAATGTTAATCATCCTAGAACTGTTATTTTACAAAATAAATCAAACCTCTTTTTTAGAACATGGGAAGGAATAAATCTACTTTACAGGACACCCTTTTTTTTTTTTGCCATATTATAGTGTTTTTTACACTGATTACGAATCTGAAATCTGAATTAGGTAGACTCCATTAGTTCAAAAGTTATAGCTAGTTGAAATTTGCATATTTTCCCTATGTAACAGTATGTGGCGGCGCCGTCGGGAGGCGGCGATAAATGATATGGACGGCAGGTCTCCGAGTGTTTTGGCACTCGCTCGGCGCTGTCGCTTTCCTCGGCTTTTAAAATATCCTAGGTTTGCAGGCTATAGTCTAGGAGGAGATCACAGGTTTAAAGTAAAGTCGGTTTAAAACGGCTCTAAAAGCCATGTCACGTGTCCGGCATAAAAAAAAAGGACCACAACCCGTACAGTTACATAGGGGAAATAAGCAAATTTCAATGAGCTATAACTTTTGAATTAACGGAGTCCGCCTAATTCTGAAAGAATTTTTAGTAAAGTAGATTTATACCCATGGGAAATATAAATTCTTACTTTTGAGTGTATTTTCTGGCTTCGTCGTCATTATAAAACTAAAAAGAAAATTGTAGCAATAACTTATTTCAAATTTTAATAATGTACTCAATTAATTTATGAATTAAGTAACTATTAAAATTCGGAATTATTTAAATACATAACTATAAATGGAAGACTTACAATTTCGGGAGGTGCCAAATGTTCTGGTCTAGACATTTTTATTGTGGATAATAAAAATAAAAAATTAATTATAATTCTGTTTTTTCAGTTTTATATCAACATAATATACGATAATAGTCAATGTTAGGGTAAACAAATACTAAGGACTGAGGAGTTAGAAAATTTATCAAAATTTTAATTTCAAATTGCAACAATTTACATGCCTCGTGTGTTGGAGGTGTCCAAGTGTCTTATCAGCTTTTGATTGATGATTACAGTTCTTTATCAGTTCGCTTCACAATATACAATGTGATAATATTATAATCACTGGATATTCTAAAATGTAAACAGCATTCGAAACACAATAATATGATAAGCATAATGTGAAAAATTGTTAAAAGTAAAAAGTGGTTACTAATAACGTAAAATTATGGGATTAATGAAAAAAATTTCATATTATTTCAATTAAAACTTGTCAATTTTTATTCAGTAACACAAATCAAGTATTTTTTATTTTAATTCCTCATATTTGTATTAATTTTATTAATATGGCTTCAAGTGGTGTAAGTAGTACGTTATAACTCTAAGATTTTAATAAAACGTTTGACTTTTATTAAAAAAACATACAATCTTTTATTGAAAAAACATACAATCAACTCTAAGATTTATAAATTAATAATAATGATGCTTATAGGATCATCGTCGAAAATGGGACCGAGACGAGTACGAAAAAATGGCCAGAAAAAGGCTCACAGACGATATAGAAGACGATCATTCGAAAGAAACGTCACCCGTAAAAAGAGAAATGTTAAAACAAAGAGACTATCGTGTTGACTTGGATTCAAAATTAGGAAAAAGTGTAGTGATTACTAAAGCTACTCCGTCATCTCAAAGTGGAGGGTAATTTTAATAAATTTTCAATTATTCTATATTTGAAGTCAGCAGTATACAGTATAAAAAGTTAGAATCTTAACAATTTCTAGCTGTAATGTTCTTTTTATAAAATATTTAGTTTTATAATTTTTGGTAACAAACTAAGTGGTAGTATTAAACGTTTAACAAATACATTTTTAAAAATGTCTTGTCACATCCATTCTTTTAAATTGTAGCATAATTAGGAAAACATAAAGACTGCTTCCATATTGATGGCATATTGCACAGATACTATAAGAATATTTTTTCCAAAAATTTTACTAGAATGAATTATACAAACTTAAAATGTTTTATTATTTTAAGTAATTAATATACGTCAATGTTCCTTTAACAACAAAAATATGAATCCATGGATTCTTAAATGTTTCATATTTTGCAAGAAGCTGAAGAGTAGGCTGAGTTGCTGATGTATGTAATGTATGACACTTGTTTACTAATATGTCATTGGTATTACTTTTCATTTATTAACTATTTAATAAAGAGTAGCTTATTAAAAAAAAAATTTGCTTCATACATCATGTATTATATTATACAATTGTATGTTGCATTTTCTTACCATTTTCAAGAATGAATGCAATTTTAATACTTTTGTGTCAATTAAATTAAAAATTTTGTTTTCAGTTGTATGTATATACAATATTTTTAGCTATATTTATACTGTAGGTTTTTAGCGTATCAGTTTCCTAGCTATAGTCATCCTTTATTTTTTATTATTAAATAACAGTAAGATGTCTAGTTTTTAGAACAATAATATATATTTAAATATAGGCAACATTTTTAGGCTAAGTAACCTTTTGATTTTAAATTTATTTCATTAAATTTTTAGCATCTATACATAACAATGTACCATAAATGTTTTAGGTACTACTGTAATGTGTGCGATTGTGTTGTTAAGGACTCTATTAACTTTTTGGATCACATCAATGGAAAAAAACGTGAGTTATTTAATTTTAGATTATACATATTTAGTAATAAGTAAAATTTGTAAAAAAAAAACAATCTATTTTTAACTAAGCATAATTAGTTTTTAGTAAATTAATCTAGTAGAATGTTGACAAAACGAATTGTTTATATACTATATAGAAAAGCATTACATGGTCAATATTCTTTCCAAAAATTATACATATATTGCATATCTGATATCAGGATCAAGTGTTCAAAACAAGCTTCGGTTAAAATTTGATCCTTTAATTCTTAAAGTTTAAGAGGCCTGAGCGCATATTTTTTTGCACTTAAATATCTTAAGGTAAATTGATTACGCTGCTTAGAGTTGTCCGATTTTTTAAAATTAAAACTTTGAACTGTAGTTTAAGTCTTTAGTTACGACAAATTTTGAAACATTTGTTTGTATTCAAAAGTTAACATCCTATAGTCCATGTAGAACATATTTCTTTTTAAAATATATATATATATATATATCATGTAATAACAAACTAAAACAAAATTATCCTGTAAAACAAGATTTTTCTCAAATAGTTCCTATAATTTGCCTGTTATAAAATAGTCACCACTTGTACTTAAACTAAAACATAATATAATACATTAAAAAACAATAATGTTTTTTATATAGTTAAATCCTTTTTCTAATGAAAAGTAAAAGAGAAAAACAACAACAAAGTCTCCTCTGATTTTTATAATTCTTACAATTATAACAATTTTAATTAATAATTTAGCTTTGTAGTTTCTTTTGTGTTTCTATAAATCACATTTTCTATATTTTCAATATTTTTAATTGTTGTTTTTATTTTAGATCAAAGAAATTTAGGGATGTCAATGAAAATAGAAAGATCTTCATTAGATCAAGTTAAAAAACGATTTGAAACTAATAAAAAGAAAATGGAAGAAAAAAAGAAAGATTATGATCTAGAACAACGTTTAAGAGAATTAAAAGAAGAAGTAATTATTTAGATATTTGATTAAATTATTTTGAAATGAACAACCAATTGTTTATTTTTAGGAAGACAAATTAAAAGAGTACCGAAAAGAAAAGAAAAAAGAAAAAAAGAGGAAACACGATGAGCTGGAGGATGAATCTCAAAATGATGAGATGGCGGCATTAATGGGATTTTCAGGTTTTGGTTCATCTAAAAAATAAATATTTGATTTTTTGATAAATAATTATGTTTAATAGTAATGCAATAATACATAAATTACAATTAATTAACCATAAATAACTTTTTGTATGATTAGTAATATTCATGACTCCCTTTTTCTTCGGTGTTTTTAAATCACACTAAACAGCAAATGCCAGCATAACTAAAAAAAAATGTGTATCATAATTAGTAATAAAAGATAAAATTAAGTAATATTATTATAATGTATTTGATTTACAGTAGAAATTTATTGTAATTTTCATTAATTATTATAATAAAACATATATTTTAAGACGTAATCTTATTACTGTGTATACAAATTTTGATTTATTCTTGTATTGTCAACAATTTTGTGTCTAGACCCTCGATTATTTCTAAATCGCGGATCCAATTCTTTCAAGTACCAAGTCTATAGTTCAGAAATCGTATCAGAAAGAAAAAATAGAATTTTAAGCACATTATTTAATCCTTAACAATGGTTTTTATCGATATATAATATTTCTACCATCTACGGATTGGCATGAAGCATTTAATTTAAAAGTCATTACTCAAGTTATAATAATTCCTACAGTCTTATGACTACACCGATCTCGCTATGCCAGAACCTCATTGTGCTGACTTTACATTAAATATATATATACACTATATAAATTGTTTTATGTAAATACTCACATATTTTCAATAGAACAAAACAGTGAAACATAAATGTCAAATGAATTTAAGATTGATGTAGTTGTGCAGTCTTTCAAGTGTTTACAACTACCCATAATGTTGTCCGGCGTGGTACAGTTTTGATATGATTGATTGGTCTAAAAATAGTTTATGGTTTGTTAATAAAATGTTATTGAATTACTCAATCAGGAACGCCATTTCAGAGGTACAAACATATTAGGTAAGCCATATAGTGTCTGTTAATGTTAAACTGAATTGAGACATGTTGTATTGTTTTTAGGAAGCAAATGACATTCGGAACATACTAAACAACATTTCTCATAAAACAAACCTACAGAATAGCGTTCCTGGTGGTCACTGTTCCCGTGTGAAAAATGCCTGATGATTTACTTACAGTATTTAACAAAACTTGATAAGTAGAGTTAGTCGTATTCAAAGCAATGACCGGTTGAACGCCGTCAGTTACATTCAGCCAGGTCAACTCACTCAAAGTGTGAAGTGGCAACTGTGAGTCGTACAAAGTCTCGTTTTTCTCTAACTTTTCCGTTTCGTTCGCATCATCTAATGACAATTCTTGTTGACTATCTCTGTCTACTAGTACTGGTCTGAAAGTGGCTGTTCTCAGACTCATATACATATGATTTAGCGTTGTCGGTCTACTGAACGTGTAACTATTACTACTGGCGGCTGTACATCAACAAACAACCAATAATAAGTAAGGAATCGGACAATTTTAAGATTAAAATAATTCTGAAAGTTGAAACCAATTAAAGTAGGTACCTACATGAGGCACAGAGCACATTTATTTCAACCAGGGACTGAAAAACGCGCTACAAATTACATATTAAATATTAATTTTCAAAATACGGATTGCACCATAACTTCTGGCAAAATAAACGGAGGGTTGAATATTATGATTTTTATTTAGCCATAGTACTACCGATACACAATCGAAAACGTATCATCAAACCTTTCCCTTAATAATTACGAAATTAAAACCGCGAATAAGGGTGTATGAATGTTGTTGAAAACCGGTTTTTTCGTTAATTACATATTATACAAAACTATTTGTAGTATTTGTAATACAATTTGAAAAACATTTCCAGCCTAAAACCAAATCTGGACTCTGGTGTCTATTTATTTGTTTAGATCTCACATCTGCACAGTGCGCACGACACAGTGTGGAAAAGAGAAACGATAAAAAATTAGTCCAATCAAATGTAATCCGACCGAAAATTAAAGTTTCTAAAAACAGGACTGTAGCAGATACAAATATCATATAAATGTGTTACTTGAGGATGGTTTTATATATTGGGTACTCAGACTCATACACGGTGATTCACTATGTGAGCCAATTTATTATTTACACCCAAAACATGAGCAAATGTGTAACTGCTTCATTTGGTAAATAAAAAATTAAGTGGCAATAACACGGTGATCTATTCGTGTTACAGAGATCAAATTGGTGAGAATTTTTCTGCAATTGGATAACAATCGTTATACCTTATGAGCAAGAATGAAACGAATTATAATAGTTTAGTTTTAACTTATATCTGAGTTACGGCTCTCCCATCCAGTAGTTACTCGACAGATCATTGATGCATTAAAATATATATGGTGTAATAACCTCTGTAATTTATCTACTAGTGCTATACAGGATGATCAACTTAAAAAGATCTAATCGTTTTCCAAGAAAATAATTATACTTTTACAGTTTCTTTTCAAAAAAATTGTTAAATATATTATTTTACAACAGTGGAAAATTTCCAAACGTATTTTTTATCCTATAATTTTTAATCGCTAATAAGTATTAGCTCTAAAATTAAAGGATTCAAAACTTGGGTTTTCTGTCATCATTTTCAAATGTCTTTTTACTTTTAAAAGTTAATTACACATATCAAAATCTCAAAAAAACCTGAGCAATACTTGTTATATGTAGTTCTATATATGTAGTTATATGTGGTTATATGTAGTTAAAAAATAAAATAATGTAATAAGTAGATTTTAAAAAACCTTTCACCACAAATGGTAATGATGATAGCATTGCTACCAAAATACGAAAATACGCTAGTGTATGATTTTTTTTGGTGAGTGATTTTTAAAAATATTTTATTGTTTTATTTCTTAATAAAATAAAATAAATAAGTTATCATTTATGTTTCAAAATTTCAAAGACCTTTGAAAAATAACAAAGAAAGGTCAATAATTGGATATTTTATAATAATATTATGAAATGAAAATGCAATTATTTTCGAGAATAACAGTGGATCGCTTTAAGTTTATCATCCTGTACAATTAATATGAATAGAGCCAGTTTGACAAATGCAAAAAATAAAAACAGAAAATGGTCATGACACTTTTTCGACGTTTACTAATCATTTTAAATCGTAATAAAATATTACTTACAATTGTATGGAATACCTGATGTAATTGCAATCGGCATTCCCGGAGGCCCAGCATAACTTAAGGGAGCTGAAATAGAAACATCGAAATTATTTTAAACCATTTAAAATGTAGAAAAAGCGAATTTCGATAAATTATAATTTTTAAATACCCACTTCAGTTCATACATTTATAGAAAATATAAACAAAATTTATGTTGCCGAAAATAGTCCAACTGTTAATAAATTTATATAAGTAATGAAAAAACTTTTTTGATTCTTATTAAATTGTACGTCTTAATTCCCAAACACTAACAGAACCCAAAACTTTTTACTACCCTAGTTATTTGGCTCAAAAGTTCCATTGGTTTTTTACTATCTTTATTATATATTTATAATGTCAATGAAAATGTCTTAAACGTGAAAATACTAAATAGTATCATACGTAGCTGATGAACAAACATGATCAAAATGTATGAGTGGACATTTTTAAAAGCTTCTCGTCATTTTTAAAGATAATATATTACTAGCGTTGGAAATTACATTATATGATAATATAAGATATATTATAAATATGATTGTAATTGTCAACCCGTGTGAAATTATCATCGATCCTAAACAAACTTGACCAAGCCTTTCCTAAATACATCCTCAGGAATTACTGAAATAAAATACTTACTGAAATTATTATTTTGGTGAGGTTTGATTTTTTCAGGATCTGCCGATGTTGTCGTTTCGTTGGGTTTGACGACTACCAATGATGTCAAAGGCGTAACGAAAGAGTACTATTAACAAGAAACCAAACAAGTAAGAAAGAAACTATTTAATAGTCGTCGCGTGACTTACTTTTAGGGCTAACTCTAGAGCTTTAGCTTTAGCGGAAGAATTTTCATTCTTGTTGAGTTCGTATTCATCCATCAATTGTTGAATATGCAAGTAGGCCCATAGTTTTTCCAAATGTCCTGCGATGGTTAATAATGTTTATTTAGCCGTAGTTGAAAACTACATTTGACCACTATTTTTCATAAAACGTCAAATACACTTGCCTACTTGTCTGGTGGTCGTCACTTCCTGGGGAACACGTGGCAAATCTAAGCAAAAAACAGAACCGGAATCTATGAAATCACCGTCTTTTGAATTGGCGTTCAACGTGCCGTTAAATTCTTCTTTGGGATTTCTCAACACACCAGCCACGACCAGCTCGGTGCCGCTAAATAACAAGTTGAACGATTTCTTTGTCACAGTGGTGTTGTCCACCTGTGTAATAAATAATGACAATGATTTGAAAAACTTGAAAGCAGTTATCACTACTCTACTCTCGTGGAAATGATTTGCACAATTAGGTTTTAGCGATGAAAAAATAAAATATTATGTTCAATCTTATACCTCATTTGAACCTAACTCTCATTTTGAAAAATCGCAGTGTATTATATTAAAATCAAACTTTAATTTCGAAGTGGGAAAACTATTGTTTTATTATATTATGTTTCTAATAAAATATCATTTTGAAATATATTTTCGTTCAAAAGGCATATTAAAAAATACAATCCACATTTGCTTTTGACAACCTTGTAATGTTATGTGTGAAGCACAGCACTAATCATGGAGTTGAACCATTCGTTATTAAGCGGATGAAAACCATGCTAACAGATCGCTTGATCACAGGACAACTAAACAGATCAAAGGCAGAAATGTGGGTGAGTACTTTCCCCTTTTATGTGGTGTCTTATACGAGATCTGAACGGAAAGTGCTATAAGCTATTCTTAGGTATATGCGGATGGCTTGGCTATAGTGGTGGTAGGTTAAATAAGATTGTATGTATTGCATGTTATCCTACATCGGATTGGATTAATGATTTTTTTTTATTATAGGGGTATTACTTGTGCATCCACGTATTTAAAGGTGACGTTGGACAATACTGGCGACGATATTTCTTTGTAAAAGTTTCTTAATTGTAAAGAAGCATCCGAAGCTTCGTATATCGTCCTGGCGAATCCCGTGTTATTCAGCGATAGCTTCTTGAGAAAATCTATGTCAGCTCCCTCTCCAAATCCCAGACTGAATATAGGATACCTGCTTAAATCATATTGAAATTATATCATCAAAGTAAAAAAAAAGTACCATTGGTCGTTGGGTGCTTTATTCAATGTCAAACAAAATCTCGTTAAATGCTAACGCCCTCAGATTAAATTCAAGCGAAGAACTGTCAATAATTATTCCACTGAGTGGTACTTTACTTTTCCGAGTTGATGTTCGAAACATATTTGATCAGCTCTTGGGATTCAGTTATTCCTGTAGTCGGTTCACCGTCTGTGAGAAACACGATTATCGGTTTCGGAGTGTTTGCACCATTTTTAAACCGTATCTCCCCTAATTTGGCTATGGAAAGAGCCTTATTTAAGGCGTCCTCCATGTTTGTACCTATGACCAACACAGTGTCGTAGTGGTTTCATTATTTTCCCTTACATCGACGTATTCTTATACACATCATATACTCACTGCTTTCCGATGTCAAGTCTTCGATGAATTTCTTGGCATAATGTATATTTTCTGCGTTTGCAGGAAAAACAAAACGGCTTTCACCGAAAGCATCTAGCGTGAAATTATTGTTATTTTTTTGTTCGATACCCGATTCATCCCAACGAGTAGACGTCGCTTGAGTAGCGTTTATCGTCCAAACCTGCAATTTGGAATAAGAAAACATACGATTGTAAAATTAATATGGTTTTAACTTCGCAGTATTCTATCGTATAATATACCTGAGCGTAATCTGAAAAGAGTATCAAGGTGAAAAAGTCGTCGGCGTTGATGTCGGTCAGAATCTGTGCCATAGCGTCTTTGACTTGTGGCAATTTTTGTCCAACCATAGAACCACTGACGTCTAACACAAATATGACGTGAGTCCTTAGGGGTTTTAAATCAGGCGGTGCGAAGAAATGTACAAAGTACCCATCGTCGATCTAAGCATGATAAACGTATCCACTGTACACAAGCTCTTTACTTGTTTAATTTTACTACAATACTTTAAATAAAGGCCCCATATCTATCAACTCAAAATATAGTTTAATTTGTATTATTTGTTTTTATATTTCTTATTTTTTATAAAAATAGAATAGTTCTAACTTCTAACAGACACATATTTATTGTATGAATGAAGTCGGACAGATTTTCTATTTTAGATAATCAGGAAGACAATTTATGAGTAAACCCAGTAAATTTGGGTATAGTATTTGATAAAGAAATTTGGAATGGGATATTAACCGAATAACGTGTACCTATGTAATATAATACACAATAATGTGACTTAAAAAAAAAATTTTATTTTAGTATTATTTATTTTAGAACTAGAACTGTAATTGTTAAAAAATGAATGATTCGACATTTTCATTGAAATAGGGCGCCGAAGGAAAAGTAATACAAATCTAAAAATTTAAGGGAACATTTTTTACAATCTCTAAAAAAAGGATCACGTTAATATATATCATACATACATTATACTATCTATATTAGGTCAAATTGTTTACCGAACACTTATGTGTTTTGTGTATCAATCGTTTGATAAAATAATAAATATATTACATCACAATAAAATGTAAAATAATATTCTAAGTATGATTTTTATATTATACATTTATTATATTAGGATAGGTGGGCCTTTTGTGAAATGTGTTTCATAAATTACTCACAAGGACTTGGTTCGGTGTAGACTTATGATCGACGTCGTATTGGACTATGAATTGACCTTTGACACCTCGTTCTGAAAACGCTAATTGTTCCTTGACGGTCGGAATCCACGTTATCGTAGTACTGTTGCCCGATGTACGAGAAATCTGCGCCAATTTATTTTCTATAAATTATAATTTATATTAAAATCTTGCGCTGACTTGAATTGAATAAAAGCCATCACTGACTGAATTAAACAACGACTCCTGTTTCATATATGCTATTAGGAAATGTATAAATCCATCGACAAAATAAAAGTAAAATAAAAAAAAGGTACACATAAGACAAAATTATCAGAAACAAGCGCAGAAAAAATAACACAAAATATTGTGTTTTTTTTTTAAAACATACTTCACAACGTCGGTAAATTACATTACATAGTATGTAAATATTATTTAGTAAAGTATATATTAGTTAAATTATGTGTAAACTATTAATTTATAATACAGAATGAAACGCAAAAATAAAACCATATAATATTATATTATTTGCACGTACTACTAGATGTCGTTTTGATTTCATTAGTCGTCTTTATGTCTGGCACTTCCAGAGTTGTTATGTTGGATGATTCTTCGATGTCTACTATGACTTTAAGATTTTTCACAACCTAGGTACAAATACTTAATTGTAATGACGTGAAATATTTAAATCATCTGTTACCTCAAGAGGTTGGAAAAAAGCATAAAAAATACCAGAAAAATTTAATAATGGTAGAAAAAGAAACGTTCTTAACGCACAAATTAAATTTGTTCATTAGGATAAGAGCCAAATTTATTTTTTAATGAATTTTTAATTTATTATTTAATTAACTATAAACGCACAAGCAGCGTCAAAATCTAATAAAACTAATTCAAAATAAACCTGCATTAACTGATCAAAACACAACCTATCCAGTGCGTAAATTCTAAATCCTATCGGAAAGCACTTTAATAATTTTTGACCGTAAACAGTTGGCCATCAAGTTAACATAGATATGTAGTTAAGGATGTTTTTATAATAGTTTCAACTTTTGACGCGGAGAAAAAAAAGGTGACCGGTAAACTGGATTTGTTCCAAAAAAGCAAAAGGGCCTCGAAGGGCAACGTGTAGCGCGCGTCCGCTCGTAATCAGTATAACGCGCGAACTTTAAACGTCTGTAACTTTCAAACAAAGTGCGAGCGGGGCAAAATGTTTACACATTCTTAATCATCATTAAAAGTACTATCGATTGAAAAAGAAAGAAAAAAAAAGGGTGCCCCCGTAAATTGAATTTATATTATTAATTATTTCTGCGAACAGCACTTCTGAACTTAGCTGCTATGAGTTATGTGCATAAAATTATTATAGTGATGATATTACCTGGCCGGGTTGGACGTTTATGACGTTTTCGTAGACACCTAGTTTCCTTGTCAAAAGCTGTTCGTAAGTAAGATTAAACGTCACTTTGTGTTCGGCTTCCACATTTACTGAGACCGTGAATTTGTTCGAATCTCTCGCGCTAAATACATTCAAAATAAGTCAATATTTTACAACGGTTAACCAGTTTAGTACACACACTTAGTCGCAACCGACCATTTAGACATACATATTAACACTTACTTTTGTTCTACGTGAGCGGCTGTCTGACCGGCATTTACCGCTGCACTGTATTCTTCTTTAGCTGCTTTTTTTTCCTTGACGTACGCTTCGTACACTTTTTCGTTAATTTCCCTAATGGTTTAGAAAACCCCGTTTTGTTTAAAAAAAAATTTAATAAAAAAACAATGACTTACAACAAATTACATATAATAAAACAGTGTAAATTATAAAATGTCTATATAAACATTTGAATCTACTCTACTCACATTAAAAATTTGGAAACAAACGCACTTTCTGGTAGCGTCACGTAGAACTGAACTTCCTGAGAAGTATTACCTTTGTTTGCCACTCGGCTCGACACCGTAGTCTGAGCATATCTGTGTTTAACTCGGGAATGTATAATAAAACTATAGATATCTCCTTTGGTTGAAACCTGCAAACAATAAAAGTTTGAAAATCATTTTTGGTCTATAGAAAACATATATGAAAAACTTAGCACAGTAGATTGATCGTGGACCTGCACTGCACTATGTTTTTATAATGAGAAAATAGATACTAATCGTGTACTAGGTGTGAAAAGCTTTAGAATAATCTTTATCGAAATGTTCTGAAAATTGGTGCCCACGTAACCAAAAATGGCCTATGGTCTCCAAGTGATATATAATTAATATACCGAAAAATGACATACTAAATTTTACACCGCAGATGTTAAATAATTTAGCAAATTATACGGGCACGTCAACCGAAAGGTATACAGTACAGTATACACGTCAAACCCTATTCCGTCGTAAGTATCTGTCATAAACATGCAAAACTGCGGAAAGTCTATTAGTATAGAAATAGACACAGGCAAATACTATGTATCCAATTTTGTATAGACTGTAGTTTAGTTACACCATTGATAACAACGTGGTTACAAACTTATACTAACGTGTACGTAGTTATTGCCTTGACCTTGGAAATAAATTTATACACCTAACTCAAATAAAAATTGACTGAGTAACTTTTTTATTCGCTTTATTAAAAATTATATTACATTAAATTTGCAAGACTGTAAATGATAAGAACGCGTAACTGAATAATTAAATTTAACAACAAAAATAGTACGGTCATAGGTTAATAGTATTTTTGTGTATTTATTATTTAATCTATGGTACGGTCTAGAGAAGCGAATAGGTTATTCCAATACTATTAACACATGGGGTCGCGGTCCCGAATGAGGAAAAGACAGTTATTTTTCCATAGAAATATCTTAATCTCTTTCTGGCAAGGGATATTGATAGCTGTAGGTGTGACGTTATAACCCCTTGTAACCCTAACAAATTTAATGTTTATTCCCGTAAAAAAACTACTTTAGTCTATTCACTATGTTATTATCTGTGACATGAAGTCGTCTATTCTATTAGTAGATCACGCACACTTTTTGAGATCCAGTCCAATACAAATTATATTACAACACAACTGGAGATATTATAGTGAAACCAAAGAAATTAATGTAAACGAGTAAAGTATGACGCACATTTAATTTTGTTAACATCCGGGTTGCGGGTACAAGTGTGTATAATAACAAGGACAAATTATCATGTGTATATTTAATATACCAGGTGATCCATTTAAGGAAAGCCATTTAGAATAATAAAAACTAGTCAAACTTTACTTTTCAAAATGTTTAGCAAACGCCACACCATGTATTCATTAAAAAGTATAAAGTATAGACAACTAAAAAAAAAAAAATGATAAGCTAATATTTTCAACGTTTTATGTTATTTATTAATAAAGCGAAAATGAATCTATATCGACCTCTAAATTTTGTTTCCAAATTTTACACCGTACCGTCCTTGTAGTTGTTTACCCATTATTGTACAAAAACATGTCTTATGAAATAGACTATTCTGAAGAACTAAGCTGAAACGAATTGACTTATTAAAATACATCATATATCAATACAAAATAGTCTTTAGATGCTGAGTTGTAGGAAATTTAATTTTAAAACATTTCAAAGTTTTAAAACGTTTGCCAAAATTGTTTAATTATAAAACGCCTATGTCAAAATCTTTATCTTGAAATTTTAATTATTATTTACTTTCATGCTAAAATGAATCAGTTTTTCTGAAAAGTACACCTCCAGAGACATTTTTTTTTTCTAAGTTTGTCAGTTTAGAACATTTTACTAAAAGTAAGCTGTAATAAAAAAACAGGTCAGTATAAATTATAATTAAGTACACACTATACCCCTAAGTCATATTAATTGTAAGTATCTATAGATTAACAACCAATTAAGCGTTTTCTTTAAAACTATTTTCCGTCAAATTTTAATATTTTTGTAGCAATTTTGACAGCTTAGGATATTTGTTATGATGTACGTGTTCAGCAGACTAGCTATAAATACATAAAAACTTCAGCGCAAACTATGAATTAGGAAAAGAGTTATGTATTCATGTATGCACAAAAGTCGAAAACCCATGTTAAATCCCATTTATACTTCAACCCTTGAGAGGCATGGGTTAAAATAATTATTTTTCGATTTTTTTAAAATTATATTTGGATTTTTTTTGGGAAGCTTTGAGGTTAAAATTAAAAAAATCTACTTTTTAAGGACAACCCTAATACCTATATATTATAATATATATATATATTATACATAATTATTATTCAAGACTCGAAAAATAAAAACTATTTACTTAACTTTGATTGAGGCTATAGTCCCTTTGCTCGTAATAAAAAAATGATATACGCCTAGATATGATGTAATTATATTGCGATAATTTATCTTTCGAGAAAAATTATCGACATCTTGCATTAAATAGACCATTTAGGTGTATGTGTGTATTATAGTAAACAACAGAATCTTATCTCAGTGAGCTCGTTAAAAACATTAGTAACGTTACAACAATAGTATACCTATTTAGAACCTCTAGTGTTAATGCGATTGTTGTATCTATTTTATGGTGTTATGACGGTCAACTTTTCAAACACGTGATATTTGTAGTTTTTAATGTGCGAGAAGTTATTATAATTTCACCTTAAAAACTATTAACGAAAAATGCGTTAAGGCTAACTGAAATAATGATATTGTCCAAGTTTGAAAGACGGGTCCAACGCGTTACCCCAAGTCATAGTGCAACTTATATATAGGTTAATAAATATTGCTGCGCCAAGGAATAATCGCGGGGCCCCTACGAAACAGAGATCATAGCAATTATTAACGTTATTATTGCTTACATATATTTGTATGTTTTGTGCTCGACTATAGTTCTGCGGGTCAAAACGAAAAAAACATAGTTTGAAATAATTTGTGTCATGCGTGCTCTGAGGTTTCAAGCCCGTAACTAGGCAGAAGGTAACCTAGACGAGCTATTTATCGGTTCGGACAAAGTACCTGTTTAGAATGTAGGATATGAATGTAAACACAGTTAATAAACGAATATTCCCTAGACAATATTATTATTATTATTATGTTGTGTTAAAAATGTACCACTTAAATTAACCTATTAACGCCCGTAACTATTTTTTTCTTCTTTTAATTTTTGAATCCCAAAAGGGACCACCGGGCGTTAATAGGTTAACAAAACAAAATTAGTTTATAAATATTATATTGCATTTTATGTACAAACAAAATAAAATTCCAATTATAACTGAATCTAATTGTAAAATATACGTTTGTATATACTTTGACTTTTTTTTCTAATGTGTCTGAATAAAATTAACATTGATAATAGAATACAATATGTAGTTGATGATGATACAATTTAAGACTCGGTAAAGAGGGAGACGTTGGTCGCCGGATACTTTTACTACACACATTACAAACATGAAAGTATGAAACGATCAGTGGTAGTGTGTGTATGTCTTGTAATAATAATTCATGAGTGATAACGTAACACTGGTAATAACGGCGGTCGCTAGTCATTATTATTTATTACTTGTACAGTACTCCTATAAGAAAAAATTCGGAAACGTTCATCTATCGTGTACGCTAACCACCCGTAATTTATCTGCGAATAATGGTTTTGCGGGGGACAATAATGTGAGGACTGTATTTACAGTAGCAGTATACAATTTTTACAATTGATAGCAAAGATTTTTTTCTTTTTTTCGTTTGTTTATAAAAAGATATTATATAGATACCAAAAAAATAAAAACGCTACGCCATAGATAAAATTCTTCTCTTTACATTGTGAAAATTTGGTAAATCTACTGTTAATATTGGCCACACATACTTGTCCCGCCCAAAACAGTTTTGATGGGAAAAAAATTGTAAATCATCCTATAGAAATGACAATGTTAAAGTCTGACAAAAAAAAAATGGCAATCAATAAAGTGTCCTCATTAGTCATTACTGTATTAATGTGTACATTATGGTTCAAGCTCTAAAATTAAGATTTTATGAAAAATTGTCTATACTTGATTCCATAGAAATGGGCTGAGTGGCATCCTCTTAAGCACGCCACACTACAGCGTTTCCCGAAAAGAATATAATTTGTGTTCACCTAATCAAAACAATTTTAAGTGATAATACTATTAGTTCAATTTAATTGTGAATTTTTTTTCTCTAAAAATAATAGCTGATTATATTAGCCATTAGGTACACGTTTTATAAAAGCTAAATAAAATAATCTGATTTCAATCTACCTATAAATGCTAACTTAGCACTAACTTGAACTTTAAATGGCTATAACTTTTGAACAGTTTAGTATTAAACAGTGTTTTTAACGTTCTCGTTTTTAAAATATTAATTGCCAACAGAATATCACGAAAAATATAGGGATTCCCATTTGAATTTCAAAAGTTGATAATGTGCATGCGTAAGGTTGAAATTTGAATTTAGGCCCAAAATATGCGTTAAGTTACACCTATTAACACACAAAAGTCAACATTAAAAAAACAGGCGGCTCTGAGAATCCCTAATGGCCTAAAAGACAAAGTAGATTACAATTAATAATATATCAATTAAACTTTGTTATAACAAAAATTTAAATAAAATAATTCTAAAATACAGTTTTAACGATTTATTTATGTTAATATAATATGTTTTAATCTACGTTTTATTTGTCTTACACTAGCCTTTGTCGATATCTTGGCAAAATAAATGTAAAATTAACAGTAAAGATAAGCTAGCGCTATTAATAAACGTTTATGGATTTTAATTACCGAACGAATACTAATCATACCTAATTCATACTACATACGCCTTGCCAAAATGCACTACAAGAATTCGTATACATATCGTGTTAAATAACTTAACTTATTGATGTTCTGTAAAAGGCCAAAAAGAAATGCTTTTAAAAAAATTAAATAAAAAGAAATTGTTGTACTTAACACCAGTTAAATAGTTATCGCCGGGTATGGACTATGGGGTTCCAATTAGAAGTTTGATAATAATTATGATTTACAGAAACGATACAAACCTGTGGATTTGTAGGCGACGGCTGGATGTCCTCGGCGGTCAGGACTGCGGCGTCGTCGGCTGGCCACGGGGCGGCCGACACGGTGTCCGGATTGGCGACGGCAAACAGCATGATCAATGCGACGGCGGAACACGCGGACAACGCCGGTGACGCGACGGCAGCGGACGACATGATGTAACGGGCTTTAATGTTCGAATGCGCCGGGCAAGGTTCGGAGTTCGGTCAGGTTCGCTTTGCTCACAGTGCGGCCGTTCGGTTCGGACTACTGCACTAAATTTCCTGTTGTAGTTTGTATAATATTACTGTAGTAAAAGTAGTACTACCTAGCTGTCAGTAGCGAGAGCAACATATATTAACAATAGTTAATAAATACTGCTGAGGCTTTAATATTGATTTATGATAAACGCACGTCGAAAAAAAAACCCACGACGCGATGACGTCCGGACGAAGTGCAGTGTGCGCGCCAGTATTCGGTTGTTTTCCACAATAGTTTTAATTGCTTACTTACATCATTATTAATAATATGATCGTAAATAATATGCGCGACGTGCGAAGAGAGTTAGGGAAAATACGAGACGATTCCGGGTATGGTGGGAAAACCAAAACCGGTTTTCTTGCTTGCGATTAATAAAGATTACAAAATGTTTACTTTTCGCCCGGAAGAAGTTACCAATTGACTTGCCAATCGATGATCACGAGAAGGACACAACAAGTCGATTACCAATATTAATGTGGCGAATAAGTTAGCTTGTTTGTACAACGAGAATATTCAATACTGTCCTGAAATCTACTGCACCTCACCCCAACGAACACACGCCATAAAATCGATTTCATACAATAATTGTCTTTTTAAGAGTTCTTTTGCACTGAGATTAAGAAATGACAAGAGTTTGAGCGAAACAAAATAATGTAAGCGATAAAACCGCCATAACAAAATTAAATTTCTAAATGTTTCATTGGTTTGAACTTCCAATTGAATTTTGTAATAACTACATTATAAGAAAATACTAATTTCAGCAAAACTATTGAATAGCTATAAAACATAACAGAATATTTAAAATTAAGTACTTTTGACACTTTGACGAAATAAAACGCGATTTTTGTATTGACGATAAATTCAGCAGTTTCAAACTCATCAAACATTCGTTTGGCAGGCAAATTTGATTGAATGGACGTTTAAAGTAGTAAAAAAAGTACATAGTTTTTAGAATAATATTCGATAAAAATAATAATGACCGATTTTAACCATACTCAAACAATATGAAAATTATGTTAAGTATTTATTTTTTATTTTTTAACGTCTAACATAAATTATTCTGATAGCTAATACCGGATAATTGATTTAGCTAGACTTGCAAAATTTTTAGTACTTCGTGATAATAATTATTGATAACTTCTTTAACTAATTTATAATTTTATGGAAATTGCAAACTTCAATCGGGGTATAGACACTATCTGACTGACGTTTGCAATTTTCATCAAATTATAAATTAGATAAAGAAGTTCAATCAATAATTATTACCACGAAATACCAAAAAGTATATGTATCTACTTAACACATTGATTAAACATAACTACTATTACTCATATTCATCATATTAATCAATGCTTAACTAAGTAAAGCTATTAATTTGACATGAAGTTTTGTTTTGTTCAAATAATAATTTTAGAACTGATCGACCGGTTTACTTGAGTAGCACTTTTAACCAATCATATCAATAAAATAGTTAAAACAAAACCATGTCACTCCTTCATCCTCAAAATCGAAAAAACCAAACAAAATTTCCAATTTTCAACTGTTAACCATTTGGGGCGTATGTAAAATCCCTGAAAGTAATCACACAGAACATAAAATTCCGCAATTTATTGAACGTTAAGTTCTGGACTAAAATATCGGAAAATAAAAATTAACACCAGCGCTACCATGTAGAGTATACTGTTATTTAAAAGAATGTCTCATTATATAATATTATATAAGCTAATTTGCGGAACACCTGTTTTTTATTATAGATACTCGAATTTTCTTATTTTTGTTTTATAACATTTTACAGATGTTCTCAACTGGTTTGAACGGTGCTTCGTGTCGAGACGTTTGATTGTGATTAAATCACATTTAGAAAAAGATAAAATGTGCTAATTTTATCATAATGTATTTGATTTACAGTAGAAAATAGAAATATATTACAATTCATTAAATATTATAATACAAAACTAAACCTAGTGAAGCATAAACTAGCACAGTATGAAGTATGGAAAGAAAGGTAAAGACAATTTTTAAACCTCTAAGTGATTACAACACAACCACCGAACGCTTCGATGTGAATAGTAAGATATCAGCATAGTGAAAAAAACTATAGTACGGTCCACGAAACTAGAAGTGTGATCGTCACGCGCCTGGTGGTAGATTTTCAATGTTGACGAGCATATTTGATATAATAAATATGTATAATATGTTCATACAATACATAAACTACTACTATAAATTACTATTATAAAAAATACAGTAAACATGTAAAAACATAGTAAACAGTAAATCCCATTTAAACTTTAACCCTTGTGGAGCACGGGTTAAAACTAATATTTTTCAAACTTTTTTTTTTGATTTTATTTTTATTGTATTTAGAAACTTTATTGTTATAGATAATGCATCCTATCACTCTACGTTAGCCGAGAATTATCCAAAATCAAACGGTCGAATGTTCAACAGTGGTTGCGGAATAAAAATATAGAGTTCTCTCCTCTAGAAACGCTTGACGAGTTACGCGAAAAAGTTAAGTTAGCGATGCCGAGGGAAAAAGACAGATAAAAAAAAACACACATCAGAGTAAAACCAATACCTTCTCGCTTTGCATCGAAGCTAAAAAGTATAAGTTAAACGAAATAACTTTCCAAATGGCCCATGAAGTGGTTAGGCATCCCCCTTACCACTGCCAGTATAACCCCATCGAACCTACTTGTTTGGGCACAAGTGAAAGGCAGAGTTGCCGAAAAGAACTCTCCTTTTAAAATTGCAGACGTAGAAGCACTTGTGCATAGAGCGATCGATGCGGTAACGGCAGAGATTGGGCGAAATGTGGAGAACATTGCGCAAAATTACAAGAGGAGGATTTTGTAAAGGCAGGGCTTAGAGATGAAATATTAGAGTCTATTATTATGACGATAAATCCCGACGACAATAGCTCGAGTGATCGAGTGAGGACGATGACGACGGCGAGGAGCTAATTTTTAAATAATTTTAACTAATTTTTTTTATTACATGTACATCGTAGCCCTCCATGTATTATATGTAAATAATTGTATAAATAGTATGAATTTTTTGTAGTATTATTAAGTTATGTATATATGGTAGACTGTGAATTATTAATGTAACATCATTATGAATTATAAACACTAATAATATATAAGGAATAAGTCTTTAAAATTATTCGTACGGTTTTGAAATTATTTTAGGCGGGAAACTTGCTGTAGAAACCCTGACGAAAACCCGCCGCTGCCACCAGGCGCGTGACGATCACACTTCTAGTTTCGTGGACCGTACTATAGTTAAGGAAAAGTGTGAAGTAGAAAACTAGACAATTGAAACTGAGTACACCAAACCAAGCACAGTATTAACGAATACAGTATAAACTAGCATAACATCCACAGATTCGCATCGAAGCGTTTTCTTCAATGTGAATGTATAGAAACATTGCGTATATTATACTAATCTGATGTCTTATAACTTAAAAAATTTACGAAAGAGAATATTTTCTTATGGTACCAAGGTAACGACTGCCTGGTATGACTTGTCTTATTACCTTTACATTTTATTTATACTTCTGAAACAGATGGTGGTTGAAAAAAAAAGAAATTATTTTGAGCATTATTCTTAATGTATCACCACTGTGTAATAATATCGGTATACCTCGAAAAACCAAAAAAATATCAAAAATACTGTTCCCTATAAGAAGTGGAACCTTCTTCTTTTCCTCCTTCGTTTTCTACCCAACTTTTTGAGTCAGCCAACCTTTCTTTCATTTTCGGAGAGTGTGCGATTATTGATAACCACCAATCCACCTAAGCATTCTCATCTTCACTACACTCATTCTCAGTTCTATTTTCTTGTCTACCGCGGACCGCCCTACACTCCAAACCATACAACATATTCAGTCTCAATTCTTACTACAGCCTACACTCCTGTAAAACTTAGCTTTAAAGACTCATTACAATTGTCTTATCATAAAAAAACACCTGACGCTTTTCTTCATTTTATCCAATCACACTTAATCCTATATTCCACATCCTCATTAAAGCCAGTGTTCTTCTGTAAAAAAGATCCTAAATACTTAAAACTCTTTAACCTCGCCTACTACACTACATCACCGCTTATTGCTTTACTCGCCAACCTCTTCTCTTGTCCTCTTCGTCCGAACTCATATTCTGTTTTACTTCTACTAATCCTCAGTCGCTATCTTTAAAGTGTTATTCTTCAATTTTTCAAGTCTATTGTTAACTTCTTCCAGATTTTCTCCAACCAGAATGTGATATGCAAGTATCATGCACCGTGGTATCTCACCCTATATTTCCTTCGTACCTTTATCTATTACTAAAGTAAACAGATAAGGGCTCAAAGTAGAGCTTTAGTAAATCCATAACTATTACTTCTTCTCCCTAAACTTCGGTACATCAGATACATAAACACAATTTTAAAAAGCAAAATTTGTTGCAAAAAAATTAAGATTTGAAAAAAAAAAATTACCAAATCAGTACTTTGCCCAAGAAATTTGTTCCGACATTTATAACAAAAATGTATACGTTTATTTTTTTTCTAACCGTGTTAGTAAAAAAAAATTATACACTATGTCAAATAACGTTATTGATGGGCTAAGTAAGTAAAACATTGTTAATTGTAATTATATTATTATACAACATGAAGTTGAATGTACCTACACAAGAACAATGCACCGTACGACATTTTATGAAATTCTATTATATTGTCGTCATTTCATTGATACTTTAGATAAACAGTTATAATTTTTTTTAACTATGTTGCAAGTATTAAAAATGATGCGTAATAAGAAAAAAAAACTAAAATATGGAATATACATTTTTGAATTTGGATTCTTCAAGTCGAATGTGCAGTGTGATTTTTATAAATACATAAAACAACAGCAGATACAATTGAATTCAAGTAACATAAATAAACTTCTCTAGTCACAAGAGTTTAGGTTGATTTTTTTCTATTATCAATGTTGTTACTTTTTATCCATGTAATGACCATATTATTATATTGTTTTACTAATGCAACTCACGTTAATTATTAAACAATAATTACTAATAATCGATGTTTGTTTCTTATACAGTTAAACTAAGCTAAAATTTAATCTCGTGCAAATAGCCTATCGTCGAGTTGGGCAGTCTGCTGTAGTAGCCACACACTAGTTCATTAAAAAATAATAACAGGAGTGGCCAACATCATAGTGTCAACTCAATGCATGGCAAAACAAAATCTCTATCTGTTCTATTATTTTAATAAATACTTTACTTTAAAAAAAAAAAAACTGAAACAGCATATTTATTATATATTTTTATTTATTTATTTAGTTTTTTTTGGCGAGAATATTTGTCACACAGCACAATAGTGCAAATTATTATCCATAGCGTACATGAATCGTATAAACAGTTATAAGATTGTTTGTTACGGTTTATTTTCATCTCATTACAAATAAAAAAAAAAGTGTTTTTATTATTATAACAAATAGACAAACTTAACTGTAAATAAAAAATTGTTTGAATTCTTCAGCTGATTAGTCTTCTCCTAATATGAAAATATGTTTAATGGTAAAGATTTCGCAATTTATCGCCGTATGCAATTTCTTTGTCTAATATTAAAATTACAAATTAAAAAAAAATATAATAATAAACAAAAAAATTATATGTACAAAAAATAAAATTACATTTATATTTTACAGGAGGTATTTGCAGTTAAAAACCTTAAATTAATACAAAATTCAATGGCATAATTTAATATCGTACTCCTGAAAAATTAAAATGTAATTTTAAAATTCATCATAATATATCAGTCTGTAAAGAAATATTTTTACGGTAAATTTTGTAGTTTTAGTAAAAATATAGGAATCTCTAATATAAAAATTAAAAATTTGAATCCAATATTTATTAATATTATTTTTGTTGAGACAAAACCAATTTTCTACAGTTGTTTCTGTACAAAATTACTTTTAAATCTATAACTTAAAAATTAACTTATTTGTATTTACAAAGTTTAAAATTAAAATTTCCGAGGTACGAAAAGAAAAGAAAAATTCCGATAAGAATCTGAATGAGATCACTCGTCATCGTCTTCTTCATCATCATCCTCGTCACTTTCATCTTTTACTTGCATCATTTGTTGTTGTTGTTGTTGTTGCTGCTGCTGCGCAAGTATTTGTTGTTGTTGTTGGAGCAACATTTGATGTTGCTGCTGTTGTTGCAACGTAGGCTTGCCTTTGTTTTTGTACTCAGTCATCTCCTACAAAATTAAATACCACTTGTTAATTTTTGTAGGCAATACATATAAAGATAAAGACACTTAATATTTTCGACATACCCTTTCATATCTGGCTTTGTCTTTTTCTGCCATTGCTTCGTATTTTTGTTTTACAGTGATATCAGCATCAGACCATTTTTTACCCAACTCTTTAGCTACATCGCCAACGCCGTATTCGGGATTCACAGCCTTAACTTTTCCACGTTCGTCATTACAGAACCAGAAGAATGCCGACCTGTGTTTTACAGAAATGTTTTGTTAATCCAAATGTAAAAAAAACCTGCGTGTGATTCAAAAATACAACACACTCTTAAACCGACAACTTACAAGGAGCGTTTTGGTGCATTGGGGTCTTTGATTTGCTTCCTTTTCTTGCCACGGACTTTTTCACCCTTGGGTGGAATATAACTCTGCATTTCAGTGTCATATCTCATCTTATCTTTATCAGCCATTTCGTGGAATCTCTTCTTTTCTTTTTCATTCATTGTCTGTAAAAATGGTTCTTATTATTTTACAAGTTTATATTTTATTATTTTTTTTTTTATAATTCCTACTCTTATACTATAGTAATGCACAAAAAAGTAGGGTTCATAATTTAATAATAATGACCATGATTAGGAATTAAAAATAATTTTTCTGAAGTTAAATAATAAAATGACCATAATGACCATCTTTTGCATACCACTTTCACATGTAATCAGAGTTGGTAGAAACCAGCAAAAAATAACAAAATTATGCTTACTAAAAAATAACAAAAAAAAGCCTATCGCCTACTTTAAGTGTATTTATTCCAAAGTAGCAAACAGTAGCTTAGGGATTTTATAAAATAAGCAGCCATCAAAACCACTAGTTAGATGAAAATAGTCACCGACGAATTTTTTGATTGTTCGCCTTATACCTATGGTCAAAAAATTCAATCAATCTCGCAAGAGAACATACAATTAATCGATAATATGTAAAAACTATTAATCCTCTTCTCTAAGACAATTACATAACGCGTACCATCCTCCTCTCCAACAACGTTCTCCTTCCCTCTTGTCCAATGATTCACACACACACACACACACACACACACACACACACACACAAATCGCCTACACAATAATATACATCTTTATGAAAAGAGCTTAATGCGGCCGAAAGAGAAGGAACGAGAAAGAGGGGAAGAATCCCGTGCCCGTGTGGTGTATGTGTGGCTATTACCCACACCCACCCTCTAGAATAGTGTTCTCTCCCTCTCGTTTCACACACACACACACACACATCCGCCACCGCTACCGCCGCCCTCGTTTGTACACGCCAAGCGTGATCGAGGAGCGGCTATATCCAAGGGGACGATAGGGAGGAGGGTTAATTTTAATAATTGCGCCAGCGCTCTCAGTTTTAAACTCCACCGCCGGTGTGTATACCCCGTGCGCACTGCTGCCGCACGCTATTCCCGCACCCTTCAGAAAACAACCCCAGCATTTTACACGCAAAAAATCGATGGCGGAGAACCCCCCAGAACTCATTCCGGCACACACACACACACACACACATTCACCCTATTACCAATAATTCTCTATCCCTCTACAATCGACCACGGCAGCACGAATAATATAACCGTCAAGAGAGAGAGAGAGAGAGAGGAGTACCGCGATTTCTATTTAATATTAACGGACGAAAATACCGCGTGTTATAATATACGGGCGATAAGGAATACCGTCAATCGTTATAGTAACCATAACAAATTTAATTAGTTATTATACGAATGGAAAATTTAAGAAAATATTAACAATTAATGATGACGATAAGAGAAATAAGACGCCGTCGGTATATAATTCAATACTTGTATTACGTTTTTTGTTTTATTAATATTTCGGTTGGCAACAGTGGGTGCCGGTTAAACGTGTGTTGTGTGTGCGAGCTATGGCGCGATACGGTCGAAGGACTAACAGGCGGCGTCGCAGACGACGACGAGGGTGGGAGAAGGGGAAACGGTCGTTCCAAAACTGGTTCCCTGGTATGCTGTCGTTGCCACAGCCGCCGACCCATCCTCTCTCTCACCCCCTTAACCGAAAACCAGTCCTACGGAACCCCAGCGGTTCTCTACAATAATATTACAACGCACGGAGAACGCAGGCCATATTAAATATTATAACGTGAACCGAAAAAAATAATCATAACGTTTTATACACACAATTTACCCGCCGCCGCTGCGCATACTACTACCAACACGACGGATAAATATATTTTATATAAATGTACATATTATATATTTTATACAAAGAAAAAACGCACTCCTCCTAGATAGATCTAGTAAAAATTATTATTATTACGAGACTAACATACATTTCTTATTTTTAAGTTATATTGAAACAATATTTGTTTGTGCATATAATATTATACGCGCGTCTTCACTATACTCGAAAGAGCAGGTGGTGCGATGTTTGGCCGTTAAGGCGGCAGGCGCAGTAAAAAGAAAAACGGTTTCACGCTTCAGCTGTTGTTTTTAAATTGTTAATACACATTACTCGTTATAATATAACATATTATGTTCTCAACGCCCGTAATAATAAAATCTTTACTTTCTCGACCATTAATAAACTTGGAATTAGATAATATTGTTAACACCTTGAAGTTATACCGCTCTTAACAGTTTTATAAAAACGAATTTATCCAGTCAGAAAGACTATGTATTTTATTACAGTTGTTATTCGGTTCAGTAGTTTATATATACCATCCAAACGACGATTAGCACAAAAAACGGTTATCATGCGTAAACCATTTGTTGTAAGCCAAACAGTAAAAACGAAACAGGACGAACCTCTTAGGCCTTAGCATTTTGCGTGCCCAATAAAAATTCGTATTACATACAAAAAAAAAAAATTATGAATTTTGTAAGGTCGCATTTGATTTCTTGGCATTACACGTATTGCACAGGTCAACTGTGTATGGCTTTCGGGAATAACGATTTAATTACAAAAATAAATTATTACAATAGACAAAAAAACCAGCAGAGTATGTTAAATATATAGCAGTCTGTTAGGTTGTTGTTAAAAATACGAACAAAGGGAGAAGAGGAATAATTATTATGCTGGAGGCTCGAATTGGGTCAAAAAAATAAAATCTGTCTGGAGAAAAAAAAACACGAGACCGTCAAAATGTTCTCATTGTCTACGTTACACACGGTCCGCCGGAAAGGAACAGTCGGTCATAATTATGATTAAACAGTTGTAATATAAAATTATTAATTTATGCGGCATGTGCCCAAAGACAAACGATATCGATTACAAATAGTGTAATTGAATTGACACTGACCTTCCACCTTTCGGCACATTTTTTTGAAAACTCCGCAAATATGACGTTCTCGTCTGGGTGTTTCTTTTTGTGCTCTTCGCGGCAAGTCTGTACAAAGAAGGCGTAGGCGGTCATACGACCCCTCGGTTTTGCGTCAGCCGCTTTGCCTCTAGGCATCTTCCCTCTGTTCTGAAATAACAAAAAACAACAACAAAATAAGTACAATGTTCTTGAACGGTTTGTATTCTATTCCGGCATCTACCTGAACTCCGTATCGTATCATAATAATTGCTATTATAAAACAACGTACGGGTAAATGTTAAAAAAAAAAAATAATAATAATTAGCAGGAAACATCTGCTTTAGTTTTTGAGCGTAACGACGAATATCGTTAATAATAATTTTAAAAAATTGTAAGACATCGTGAATAATAGAATTTTCGAGTGTTATCAACATGAAAACATAAACCCTATGCATATACCTACTATCATTATAATTATAAATATATTATTGGCAAACGAGTTAAATCATTTTACGCTGGTGAACGGTTGTCTACAACAATTCGCTATTACATACAAGCGTGTTATAGTGTTTTTATATTACATAGGATTTATATATATATATAATTTAAATAAAAACGTTTAGTTCGGCGGTGGCAGTCACACACACTACCTTTCTCCATAGCGGCGACAGCACTTGCAAGTGTCCCTTTTACAAGGACAAAACAAAATATATTAATCTTTGCAATACAACGAACACGGTAATGTTGTCCTTATCATTCGTCTATTTATAATTGTCCAAACCTTGTGTTTCAATAAAATCTAAAAGCCAAAAATGACCTGGCTATTTTGCTCATTTTAAATAGTAAGTCAGATTGCACAGTGAATAGCCATTAGGAATTAAAAAAGGTTTAAACTAGCGTTCAAATGTTTTTGAACAGCTATTGAGGAACTTAGGAGAGAACCTTGTTGGTGATGTTAGCTGTTGTTATTACCAGTGTGCTGTTTGGAACGTTGTATAGAAAGGTCCAATAGGGTAAAATAACAGGTTTTCGTCGCCGTAGTTTCTTTTTTTTTTTTTTTTTACGACGCACATAATAATATCCCGACACGAAAAACGGAGACAATTTCAGTAAAAAAAAAATAATAATAATAAATTAAATGTTATACGATTGAAAAATGTTAATCGCTCTCCCGGCGTTGTCTAGTCTATTAGTGCATTGTCTGTGTCTGTGTGTTAGGTACACAAAACAGGACCTTCTTTGACCAAAGATTTCTTTCACTATATACGATGAGGTTTTTCGGATAAAAACGGATCATCGAACGATTACAATGGAGTAGTTTTGCAAAACCCAGTAATTTGCAAAGGCCCAACCAACGGCGATTTTAGAGACTTTCTCTCGGGCTAGAAATAATAATTACTTCTGTTCGCGTGGATACTAAGAAGCGGGACATAAATCAAGCGAAACAAAACTCACGGCAGAGGACTACTATTAGCCTCTAGCCGGAATAACGCAGACGGCAGACTTTAAGTAGCAGAAAAAACACACACACAGACACGAGTTTTCATTCATATTTCTTTCGGCCATAACCACACACACACACTGGAACGATAGCTCATATAGGTATATATGTTATTATGTTACGGGGCACTCCACAATAGCGTATTGTGTTCCACGATAAAAACGACCAAGTAAAACAGTTTATTGTAGAACCGACAATAATTGACCAAGGCTAACGACCTGGCCCAATCGATTCGATGTTGTGTGCAGAGGAGATTCTTGGCAATAATTGTACACCATCATTAACCGCTTATCGTCATTTTAACGCAAAAACAATAATAACGAGACGATTATAAAAAAATGATAATTAAATCTTTTGGTCGACCGAAAAAAAAATCTATAACAAACATACGTCTAGGACGAATTAGTAGAGGCGCGTGCAGCAGTGAATATATTACAACAATTTTCCTGTGACTGCTGGACCAGAAATAATATTCCATGAAGGCTATGGAACCCAGGGAAACCTTGACATTCGGTCTTTGTTAACAATTAACATCTGTTTTCGACCATTGGTCCTCAAAACAATGAACGTGAAGACGCGCAACGACCGAGAAAAAACAAATATAAAATAAGAATAAACATTTCCGTTTGTGTGCAAAACGCGTTCTTAGCCAATAATTAACTACTCGTTTCCACAACGGGTTAAGATTTTAATTATTTCCGGAGGAAAACAAACATAAAAAAGACTAGGACAGAGTTAGTGCAGTATCGTCTTTTACATAACGGACGGCGTTGCCGTTTTTTTTTTTATCACGTTATCGATCTACCGACGAAACTGAATCATCGGCTGACGAGTCGCAAACAATAACGGAATGAAGTGCAGACCACGGTGGTACATGGCCACTCGCCTATCCGTATAGATACCGACTTTCCATTTGCTCGTTCAATGACAAACGACGTACAGGTAAATCATCACCACCCCAGCCAGTAAATTAGGTATCTCGGCCCCTAAACAAAACCACAGAACGGTGAAACGCGAGCGAGTAGTACTTTAGTGCGTAGAGGCGTCCAAGAAAATCAATAATGATATAATATCTAGAAGAGAGATAACAAAAGCGCCAATCCTTTTTTTTTACCTAGTAGCATTTTTACGCGCTATCGTATATGATGACGTTAGTTACTTAGAGCAGTGACCGTCAGCCGAAACATCAATACCTAGTTCCTAGTAGTGATGCACGTGAACGAACCCAACGTACATTTGTACACATGATAACGCGAGTTCTCCTACTCCGACTTGGGCTCACTCAAATCGCGGGGGTCTCGGCCTTTTGGTTCATCGCTCGCCAACGCGCTACTTACTAATCATTATCGATTAATTAACGAACCTAAAATGAACCGGAGGAGGAAACGGTCTCGGGCGATAACGAGTCCACCGGAAGTCGGAGAGACGCACGCGAGAAAAATATATGAATAAAAAATAAAAAGCTGTACGTAGCGTTATCACGCCAAATTACCATGATGGCGTTGGGCGACGGTACGTTGTGTAAGTTTTGAATGTTGTTGTCCATGGCGCCCGGATAAGACCACCATTGCGCGGCGGCGGCAGCGGCTATCCCGTAGTCCGTGTAATTGGCCATCGGGTTTCTGGAGCTGCTGGTCACCGTCGTGTTGCTGTTGCTGGTAGACACGTTGTTCATTTGCTGTTGTTGTTGGTGCTGTTGCTGTTGCTGCTGCAGCTGCTGGTGCTGTTGATGGCTGAACGTGGACGCCATTTTATAGAACTGCTGGGCCGCGGACACCGCAGCAGCGGCCTGCTGCTGCTGTTGTTGCGCGGCCGCCGCCACGGCGGCCAATTGCTGCTGATGGTGTTGGTTCAACAATTGTTGTTGTTGCTGCTGTTGCTGTTGTTGCTGCTGCTGTTGTTGTTGTTGCATGTGTTGCTGCTGCTGTTGCGGGTCTTGTTGACTGTTACCCCACCATATATTGGCGGCGGCGGCGGCCGCGTGGTCGTCCCGGTTGCCCCAGCCGACATTGTTGCCCGCGCGGTTTTCGGACATGCCGCCTATACAGCGTCTGTAGTGGTGTGCGCACGGCTTGAATCTCCCGGCCGGACGGCACAACAAACGTTACGCACGCACTTACTATACGCGGTTCGTATGCTAGAAGCGCGTGTGTGCGTAAAATAAAAACAATACCGAATTTCGCGTCGTTCGTTCGTTACACGATAAGGTGTTTGTCGTTCGGATCGTACGCGCGCGTACGAAGAAAGCACACGAGACAAGAGCGGGTGCGTACACGCTCTCGTATACACGCACACACACACACACGCGGCACACGATGAATATAATAATAATAATAATATGAAGAATAACAAATAAAAAAAAACAAAGGGAAACACAACGCGACGGCGACGGATGCGCGTGTATATGGTTGGATCTCGCAGTGTAAACGCGCGACCGACGGTTAAAACTGCCGTGGAAAAGGCGGCGGAGAGAGAAGGAGAAAAAATAACGAGGCAGACCTGCGTGTTCGTGTAGCCCGCCACTAGCCGAACAACGACGACGGCGACGGATGTACCCCCACCAACACCGCCGGCACCGACCGTTTCATAAAAACCCAATGGCGCGGCCGCCCCGACCCCCACCTTCCGCGTCCCGAATACCGGTAAACCGGCATTGCCAACCTCATCTCTGGAAATCGTGAGAGGCCGAACAAAGAACATTTATACACAATACACATATATATATATATATGTATAATGTACACGTTGTATGTATGCGTGTACGGGCGGCAAGTCGGAGAGAGAACGAGAATAAAAACCGCGCGCGCCAAGGCCACCGGTCGTTCAAGGTTTCTGCAGTTCACCACCGCCGACGTGAGGCGCGCACTGTCGTGCGGTCGCGGCGTCCTTTCCCTTTCTTTCCCAATAATATCCCCAACACAACTTAGAAACGGCACCAACACGCACATACTTAGATTTTTTAGTATATTTTTCTAAAAAATCATATTTAATACAAACATTTTATATTTACTTGACGTAAAATTCGATTTCAAAATAATAATAAACTGATACGACCAAAAAGAAAACTACCCAAGCGCATGGAAGAAAAGAATAATTATTTATTATATTCACCCACACCCTCTAGCGGTGTATTATTTTATGGTTTTTGTTGCGCGTTAATACTGTATGCAAGATGGCGGGCGTGTGCCTTTTAATCGATTGGATAGCGTCAGGCCAGTTTTCTCATTTTTGGCCGGCGTTTTGAATAAAAGATGCACACTACGCATAATAGTAAACGGTCAGCCGTCGATTTAACGACTTTGGGCTAAAGGCGCGCGGCAAACCGAATTACATGCAACAACAAGGTTAGCCATTACATATCGGCCAAATGTTCAGATTCGTGAAATATATCGGGACGGGATGGCAGTTGGAAAGAAAAAGGCAACATTAGACGAATATCAATGTTTTTCTTTTTTGACGATATAACATTTTAAATTTTATAAGGACTCATGAAAAAAAAAACATTATTCAAAATGTATGAAAACGAATGCGTTACTAACGCACAACAATCATGAACAACGGGGAACTGTTGTCCATCGCCAATCTCATTAACGCAGCCCAAATGCGTATGACCAACACACATAAAGGGGGTGTACACGTCTCGAAACGGTTACAGTTTTTATAACAATATGTTAATCGAGCAAAAATAACGGAAAACGCACACGGTGGGGTGAACCGAGTGAATCATACACGTTCACAGTACACACGCAGGGTAATATGGCAGTTGCCGCTCACTGGTCTGCCGTTGGGGACGCATAAAAAAAAGTAGGTTCCAGCGCGCGCCCTTCATTCTTTCCATTGATTATAAATAGTACTATTTAAAATCAATGCTTTCAGCCACCCGGCTCGAGCAGGAAATCTGCCGTTGCCAACCCCCCCATGTTTCGTTAACGAAACAGTATTAATACGATATAGGATTAACATAAACTGCAATACTCGTTGTCTGAAAATTCAAAATGTTTAACTCACCAACGACGCTATTGTTTAAAACGATATCAAAAGAATTATATTTAAAACTGTACTATAGGTTGGTTTGTATACATGAACACGACAGGTAAACGATACAATAGCGACCACAGACAAAAGACAAGACCACCGTCAGTCTAATTGATATTTTTTGATAATAATAGTTTTAAATTATATATTACAAACGTTCAGGCGGATAAACCTGGGACAATATTATTATTAGTGTTATATCAAAGTCCGCCAAAACCGAAGCCATTCGAAATATGAACACAAAAGTAGTTTTTTTTTATTGCGGCTAAATGCGCCTTCGATTACACACATAATAGTAACACAATTTTTATACATGATAGAAACATGTATACCAGACTATATAATAGCACAGTTACCTAATTAATTATACTTGTACAATACAATAAAAGGAGAATTTATTTTCTAAGCCTTAGCATATAGTATACCTATATACCTATCAGATGAAAAGTGATAAGTCAATAATAACAGCCGAATGTAAAATCTTTTAAATGTTATTTAATTATTTTATCTATAGTAGAGAAAACATAATAATCTCGGATTAACAAGCTCGTTTTGTAAGCAGAAAAGAAAATTTTAAAAGCCTCGCACACAACACATCGAAAAACCCATACTATTATAGGAGAAGGTTATCATTGAACATCGCTGTAAACTTACTATAATACATGTTGACTATTTTATAAAAAAACTCGTTATTCTATTAGTAAAATATAAAATATAAGAAATAATTCTTCCAAACTAGATTTATAAATGCACATAGAAATTATACGTCATAGTTACATTGCGATGAAAACAAAAAAACTCGAAAGTCACCCGTACTTAGTGCACAATTCAGCAAACTTCACTTATAAAACTTATTTTTGTTTGTTTTTACAATAGGTAATAGTCCTTATCGTGCAATTTACGCCTCAGTGGGTAATCAGGGCGGTATTTATTCCCCACACCCAGTTATAACTGTCGACGTATAGGGTTTGGACGAAATGTCACAAAAATTAAAATATTTTATTATTATAATTAATAAAGGCAGTCTATATTTGAATCATTTATTTTAGCTAGCAAACAAATTTTGGTAGAAAGCAATCTTTAAAAAATGTAGGTACTTAAAATGCATTTTGTCTCATTGTAACTTGAAAATAATCAACATTAAACAATTTCTAGCGTTGGTCAATAAGAAAAATGTATGGTAATTTTTTTTTTTGTTTTGTCGGCCATAAAGCCAATACTTTTACTAAGGAGTTAGGAGGCAATAACTGTTTGGCATATCACCCTCTAGAATAAAATTGTTAACACTGATTCGGCGATTTTAACGCAATGATACAATGAATATCGGCGATCTAACTTGATAATCAAGTGTCGTCGGGCTAATGAATATATTCTTACAGTTTGAAGTACACCACAACGTAATTAATAGTTTTATAATAATACATAGTTCGGCGATAATGTAGACAATATTATCAAGCTATTCTATAAGATGTATAATTTGTATTATTAACTACTCTACAATTAATGGAGGGAAGGAAATCGGTCAACAGCATCGAACACACTCGACGAGATACTTGCTTATAGTAACGATTACAAATAAATGTGAACAATATTTATAATAAAAGAAAACAACTATGTTTAGCGGGTTCTTACTAAGTACTACAGAAGTCACGGCGGCGACTACAATAACAGCAGGACTACAAAATAATTATTAATACTATGTATGTACATAGTAAAATAGTATTCATATTAGTATTAGCGATAAAATACGTCACCTAATCCGAAATTCGGTGGGTCGAAAACCTCAGGGTAATTAAAACGAAGGCATAACCAAAAAGATTATTGTTTAAAATGACTTTCTTAAGCGTACGATATTTAAAACTCATCGGTATTTGTGCATCATTAATTAAATGTTAATAGTACACCTACACAATATACTTCCATAAATTTCCCTTATAAAAGTATAAAGATTTAAAATAAGTCTAAACAATATTATAATAATGAAAACATTACCTGTATCTTGTATTTGTTTTATTTTTTTAAAGCACAAATAATTATAATGAGACTCAGGAGTAAAAAAAATATTCAATGATAATAAAATGTTTTATTTATTTAATTTTCTACGACTAACACCACTAGCGATAACCATATAATAATGTTAAATATAATAAGGCATATGCTAGCGTTCAGTGGCGTCCTCGCCATATAACGATAAACACAAACCGGCATCAATGGTTTCATAAATTGTGCGTGGTATGCTAACGCTATCTGTTGAAATATACAGCAGTCAGTAATTTCCCCTCTTTAGAACACCCGTCCACCCGACAACTGCGTTATGTAAACAAGACTTAAATTCGATAAAAGAAAAAAATTCTTCATAAAAAAAAATGACCCGGAATTATGTGTCACATGAAATAATTTGATGAGTTGTAAAACATCGTGTTCCTTAAAAAAAATCCAGTGGGGAACAATAGAAAGCATCAATAATAAATTACATTTAATTTTAGTTTCGATGCCATATTTTTTTTTTTTAATTAAAATATAACTTAATAAACCCCAAACGGATTGGTACGATTTCACATAATATTAAGGTTGCTTACAGAGTTAATTAATCGGCGAAAAATTACTTAGCCAGCTATAGGGCATATAGTTGTATAATTAACATATAACATCGCATAATTTCTCAATTACAAAAAAAAACAAAATTATGTACGATACCATAATAATATACTCATTCAAACATATATTCAGATATATATTTTTTAATACTATGTACGACAGTTACACAATTTCTTTTTTATACTTACATATATATTTTGATTTCAGCTCCAACGGCAAAACTAGTAAGCAAGTGCGTACGATTGGATGGGCAGGAATTACAAATCGTCTTCAATAATTATTGTAGTCGTTCTGCTGGAAACATACACGAGCAAAAAAGTTAATTTACTAAAATGCGCGTTACACAATCTTACACACTGTTAACTATAATATAAACAATTAAAATAGTACCGACAATCGGGTATTTAGAGAAGTTTTTAAAAGCTATATTATCGTTATCTAACCCATAAACCCGATAATCGAATTACCAGTTCAAAATATAGTATACGGCGTATAATAATTGAAGTCGACCGTACGGTCGGTGCTCAAAGAAAAAAAAAATTGAAAATCAACCGTTTTACCGCCCCAATCAATTACAGGTATGGCCAATAATATACACAATATAATATAATATCACAATAATCTGTATGGCACAACCAAGGCTTGCGAACGACCACGTTATGGCCGTGTTGTTGACGATACGAGACACCAGATAACACACACGCGCACTTATACATAGACATACACACACACCGGATGTTATTACTCTATCGGTTTAGCGTACATACCTTGGAATAACGGTTTGCATTTACTACCCCGAAATGGAACATCAGTCGAAAACAA